TTCTGGACCTTCTGTATTCTCTATGGGAAGGATTTCAATTACAAATTCAATTTCTACAATTTATATATGGCTGGTCACATTTTCTATTTCTTCTTAGGTCAGTTTTCATGAGTTTTCTCTCTCAAGGAAATTGTTCATTTGGATGTCAAGCTTATTGGCATAAAATTATTAATATTCCTTTTCTTGACCTGAAGGTCACAGCGGTCTTATGTTCTCTTATTCCTGTTATTGTTAATTTGTATCTTTTTGTCTTGATCAATCTAGCTAGGGTTTTATAAAATTTGCTGATTATTTTCCCATACAACCAAGTTTAGGATTTGTTAATTTTATTTATCTTTCTCAGTAATCGACTTCGGTTTCATTATTATTTCCTTCCTCTGCATGCTTTGGTTTAATTTGTTCCTTTTTGTTTCTTACGGCAGAAGCTAAGTTGCTAATTTGAGATCTTCTTCTTTTTAAATAGAGGTACTTAAAATGTCATTTTTTCTCTATTATTTCAGCTGCACCCCATAGATTTTGATTTATTTTACTTTAATATCCTTCTGTTTAGAGGATTTCCTAATTTCTCTTTTGATTTCTACTTTGACAGAATTGTCATTTAGAGTTCTGATGTTTAATTTCTAAATACTTGGTATTTTTACAATCATGTATCTTTGTCCATTTCAGCTGTTGTAACAGAATACCATAGTCTGTGTGGATTATAAACAAAAGAAATCTATTTCTCACAATTCCAGAGCCTGGGAAGTCAAAGGTAAAGACATCAGTGGAATGAGTGTGTGATTAAGGGTGTTTCCAGGTTCACAGATGGTATCTTTTCTTGGTGTTCTTACATGGTGGAAGGAGCAAAGGAACTGAATGAAGTCCCTTTTATAAGAACACTAATCTAATTAATAAGGGATCTGCCCTCATGACTTAATCACCTCCTAAAGCCTCCACCTCCAAACACCATCACATTAGGGATTAGGTTTCAATATATGAATTTAGGGAACGACAAAAACATTCAGTACACAGGATCACCTTATTGCTACCAATTTCTAATGCGTTTTCATATGGTCAGAAAATATGTCTTGTATGATTTCAATATTTTCAAATGTATTGTTTGATGGCCTGAAATACAGTTTCTCTTGGTAAATGTATCATTCACACTTGAGACAATATATATTTTTTCATTGATGTTCACATGTATTTATATACATAAAGTCTGTGTGGTTAATGCTTTTTTTTTCTAGTTCTTTGTTGGAATTTTCTATAGTTTTGAAATTTATTGCTAAAGTTTTAACATATCTAATCATGCTCAGAAAATTCTCCATTTCTCTCTGTAATTTTGTCCATTTTTGTGTGTGAACTCTGAAGTTAAGCTGTTGGGCGGATTTCTGATTGCATATCTTTTTGTTGGATTGATGCTTTCGTTATTATGAAATGTCTCTTTTTTTTTAATCTCTGGTAATACATTTCATTTAAAAATCTCTTCTTTACTGGTAGTAATATAACTGGTAGCAATATAACGCTTTCAACCCCCTTATGCTTACTGTTCACATGACATTGCTTCTTCCATCAATTTACATTTAACTTAGACCTATGTGTGCTGGCGTTAGTCTGTTTTCACACTGCTAATGTTGTAACCAAGCGAGTTGTAAGGAAAGCGCCACACTCTGAGATAGAATCAGAAGTCCTTTGTTGCCAGTGACCGAGAGATGGCTAATACTCAAAATTCTCTTGGCCAGAAGAAGGGGCTTGATTCCTTTTTACGCCTTGCTTAGAGAAAGGGGGTAATAACCCCCTTGGCATTTTGTAAGTCCAGGAATATTCAAATCGGATTTAGAATTGGAATGATGGACGATCCAGTCACAGACGCCATCGATTCTTTGATTTTTGTCTTTTGGATTCCTCATTTTTCCTGATTATGCACTCACAAGTTGACTCAGCTGGGAACTTGACCATGAATGTGGTGCTTTCTGGCTGGGCTCCTCCCCTCATCGGGAAGACCAGCTGAAAAGGCAAAAACCGAACAAAAACCTGAATTCTCCCTTGGCAGTGTGGGTCATATCCACTGTCTGGGATTTAAAAATGCCTCTTCATGTGCAAGGCGAGGTGGTCTGACATGGAATATGCTCGGTCGCATTTCTGGCACCAGAACGGGCGTTGCCCAGTGTGTTTACGGTAGTGCCTGGTCAGTTCATCTGAGCAGGCGAATTTCCATCCACAGCCACGGCGGTCGCCATGGTAAGGTTTCTCACCTGTGTGGGTTCGCAGGTGTGCCTTGGGATGGGAACTCTTTGTGTAGGTTTTGCCGTAGCCCGCATAATCACAAGTATGGGTGGCGACCCTTTTCTGGGTCACCATCGTCTTTCCCTGATTGGCCTGAACTCCTCCAGCAGGAACCGGGCGGCATGAGCTTGGTAATGCAGCGGCGGGACTTGCGGCTGCGTCGGTCAGGCAGGAAGGATGGGTAATCGGGCCCCGGATGGGGATGGAAGCCGGGGAAGCTGCAGAGCAGGGTGACAGTCCCTGCCGCTCAGCACTTCCTCAGGTGCCGGGGTCGGGAGCTGCCGCCCAGGGGGACGTCGTGTGCAGCCCGCCGGTGGCCATGGCTGGGAGGGGTCCAGCGCCCGAGTGGGTGCACGAGGAGACCCCTCCTGCTTGATCTTGGGGTACAGGCGCCGCGGGCAGCCGTTGTGGGGGCCGCCACCACCACCAGGTGGCTGCTGTCAGGGCCGTCTTCGCTGACGCTGATGACAACTGGCTGCCATACTCGATGCTGGGGGTGCTCAGCGGTGCCTTCAGCACGAACTTGCTAGTAACCCCAACACCTAGTGGCTGGGGCGGTGGAATGGACACCGCTTCCAATCGCGGCCGCAGGAGCTCCGCCGAGGAACCGCCCGAGGGGCTCCCGGTGTGGATGTCCGCCAGGTTGAATGGAGCCGTCGGAGGGGCAGCTGACTTGCTGCCGTAGAGGAGGCCTCCGCCCGTGTGGTCCCCACGCCTGGGTCGCCCCCACCGGCATCGGACAGCTGAAGCTGAAGGTGGAGGGCGCGCTGGCAGGGCCGCTGCTCGACGGGAACGACAAGGAAGGCGTTGATGCTGACAAGGACACAGTGGCGGCCACCGACTGCTGATGGACAGCAAATTGGAGAGGATAAGGTCCAGGCCCAGGAGATGGTTGAACTCCTCGGTCTCTCTCCGGGGCAGGGGGCCAGATTGCTACGAGGGGCTGCAGTGGCTCCGGCAGGTCTGTGGCCACAGTCGCCGCCACCAGGTCCTGGGGTGGCCAGGAAGCATTGGGGGAAGTCCTTCATGTGGGAGAGCTCCTCCTGCCAGCGGTTAATCGGGTTATTTGGAGCACCTGCTTAACGCAGTGTCCTCTCCCTTCCCGCCGGGACAGACGCGTGGAGAAAGGTGGGAGCAGCGCCTCGCTGACAGCCCTCTCAGATCGCCGGGTGGCTGCCTCATTAATGTGGGGGCCCAGAAGGTCCTTGGGAGCCCGCCGCAGCTGGGTCACCCGAGCCCCAAAGTCAACGAAGAGAAGACAGAAACAAAGCCAAAACCCCAAACCCAAGTTGCCCGACATCCTTTTTCTTTGGATTAAATATAAATTAGAGTCATCCTTTTTAAAAAGTTTCTTTGTTTGCAAAAGTTCTTAGAAAAGTAGACAATCTTATAAAAATAGACAATCAGCAAGGCTAGTAAGCAGGCCCGGTGGCCGGGCTGCGCTCTCTTCCACTCAGCAGCATCCTCCACCGCTGTCATGGTCGCCTCGGTTGCTGCCGTGGGCGGTGGGCAGGAGGTGCCACTCGGTGAGACTGCCACGGCGAAGAACTGGTGGGTGCCGCAGGGCATGGAGTCGCGGGAGCTGTCTGGGTGCGCAGGGGCCATAGGCGCGGGCGGCGGGCCTGAGGGTGGGGAGGGGTCCGGAGGGGCGGCGGGGTCACTCGGCGGCTCCCGGTGCCTCCGCTGCCTGCCAAGGCTTCTGCTCCCCGCATGCCCGCTCTTTCTCTCTGGTCGGGGAACTCAGAAAAAGTCTTAATATGTGCAGATTCTTCAGGCCTTTTTGATTCTTTCTAGTCCTTAATGTAGATTTAGAGAATTATAAGTTCTTGCAACAGAAAATCTGCATTAAAAAAGTCTTCCCCGGTGATCTTTAGGCAGCCCATCCACAGACAGGTTCTTAGAAGCCCTGGCAAGTTTCAGTGTTGAAAATTGTTTCCTCTTCCCTAAAAGCAATGAAAGGGCAGGTGGCCAGCAGAGGGGGAGCAGAAACCAAGGCTGCCCTGGAGGGTGTGTCTGATGCAGAAGAGGAGGACTGCATCCTAAAACACATCCCATCCCTGGAGCTACAGCATTTCAGATCAATACTGCAAATACACCCGAACTGCCAAGGAACACGGCCCAGACACCCTTTGAGGAGGGATTCTCACTCTTAATTCCTCTGTTCTTCATCTTCTGCTGTATTTGAACCCAAAACCTTCCAGCGATATGTCCAGCCCTGGGAGCGCAGCTGTTCCTCGGGACTGCTCCAGCTGGTGCCCGCTCTGGCCTAACCTGGTGTGCGGTGGAGGTGGCCGGCCCCTTTAAGGCCCCACTGCGCCTGCGCCTGCGCCTGGGGCGCTCGGTGGCCGGGCCGGAGCGGAAGAGCCAGGGGCCGCAGGGGGGCGCTGGGCGGCAATGGCGACCGCGGCGGCGCTGGGAGGGGCAGGCGAGGGCGGCGTGGCGGCTGGAAGCATCTGAGTGAGCGCGGCGCTTCCGGAAACGCGTGACGGGCGGGCGACCTGCGGAGGGCGGAGGCGCGGCGGGCGGCTGCCAGGCCCATGGGAAGCGCAGGTTTGCCGGGGCGTCCACGCAGCGTTTTTGAGCTGAGGGCGCCGCGCCAGGCCGCGGGCAGTGAGTTCGGACCCGGGCGCACAGCCGGGTGGACGTGCAGCGGCCTCCGCAACTTCTGCTGCGCGAGGTGGCCTGGGGCGGCCGACGGGCTGAAGTCCCTGCCCTGGGTTCCTCTCCCGCAGCCGCCCGCAGCACTCCTCTCGTGGGGCCGGGGAGAAACCCGCTGGCGGGTCTTTGGGACTTCTTAGATGATCTCACTTGGCATCCTCCCACCAAAGTGCAGCAAGACTTTTGGAATGGCTTCCTCGCCTCCTCCTGTCTTTTGCCGGTAAAGCTGCTTTCCACAGGAAGTCTTTTCTTGAAGTGCTGTCATTTCTTTGGGGTACAGTGTGGTTCATCCGCAGGAATGACTCCCAGTGCTTGAGGAGGTTAAAGTGATCTGCTGGTCGTTTTAATCTTTGTTCTGAGCTGATATGTGTTAGCAGCTTTCTTTTGTTTTTAAATTTGATTGGTAAAACTTCACCTGTGAACCAGCAGCTCGGTTTTCTATTCTAAAATGCTAGCTTTAAGATTTCTGAGAACTTTGTGTCCAAGAAATCTTTGAAAAGTTACTGAAGTCTACAGAAGTTGACAATTTGAAATGTGCAGGTGGTCCGGGGGCGGTGGATCACACCTGTAATCCAGAACTTTGGGAGGCCAAGGTGGGCCGATCAATTGAGCCCCAGAGTTCCAGACCAGCCTGGGCAACGTGGCAAAACCCCATCTCTACTGAAAATACAAAAATTAGCTGTGTGTGGTGGGGTGTGCCTAGCTAGCTACCTGGGAGGCTGAGATGGAAGCATCTATCAGAGCCTGGGAGGTTGAGATCACAGTGAGCAGTGATCATGCCAGTGCACTCAGGCCTGGATGGTGAGAGCCTGTCTCAAAAAAAAAAAAAGTACAGGTAATAAATTTATACTAAGTGAAATTCACCACAGGTCAAGAAATAGAACATTACTAGATTGGGGTATATATGTAAGAGTCACATTGTTGGTTTTAGAGGTATCACATATTGTTGAACATTTTCCCAAAGTGGTTGTAAAACTTACCAGGGAATATTCTGGTTATCCCACATCCTTGCTGGTGCTTGTCAGTTAAAAATTATTTTGCCATTGGAGTAGAGGTACAGTAATACATCAGTGTGGTTTCATTTTGCATTTTCCTGGTATTGAGGTTGAGTATTTTTTCTTGCCATTTATATGTTCTCTTTTGTGAAGTGCCTGTTAAATCTTTGTATCCTGTTTTCATTGATATGCTTGTTTTTCTGTTGATTTGTAACACTTTATTCTGGTTATGTGTCCTTTCTAGGATATAGATGTATTGCATTTCTCTTTTTTCAAACTGTAGCTTGCCTTTTCACTCTTTTAATGGTGTTTTTGCATGAATGGAGATTCTCTAATTTTTTTTTTTTTTTTCTTTTTGAGACAGGATCTCACTCTGTTGTCCAGGCTGGAGTGCAGTGGCACAATTACAGCTAATTGCAACCTCGTCCTCCCAAGGCTCTGGTGATCCTCCTGCCTCAGCCCCCAAGTAGCTGGGACCTACAGGGGAGCACCATTATGCTCAGCTCTTTTTGTATTCTTAGTACAGATTGGGTTTTAACATGTTGCATAGGCCGGTGTGGAATTCCTGGGATCAAGTGATACACCTGCCTCGGCCTCCCAAAGTGTAGGGATTACAGGTATGAGCCAGTGTACCTGGGCTGAGTTTCTTAATTTTAATGAAATTATACTTGATCAATCATTTCCTTTATGGTGACTGCTATTTGTGTCCTGTTAATCAATGCCTAATCTAAGAATATGAATACATTTTCCTGTGTTAACCTCATAGCAATTTTATTTTAGGTTATGCTTCCCCCCCCACCCCCAGACAGGCTTTCACTGTATTTCCCAGGCTGGAGTGTGGTGGCATAATCTCAGCTCACTGCAACTTTCACCTCCTGGCTCAACTGATCCTCCCCGCTCAGCCTCCTGAGTATCTGAGACCATAGGAGTGTGCCACCATGCCTGGCTAATTTTTGTATTTTTTTTTTTGTAGAGATGGACATTCAAAATTTTCCCAGGTTGGCCTCAAACTCTTGGGCTCAAGTAGTCTGCCCACTTCAGCCTCCCAGAGTGCTGGGATTACAGGTGTGAGCCACCCCACCCAGACATGATTCATTTTTTACTACATGGATGTGACTGATGTAGCATTGTGTGTTGAACGCAACATCCTTATCCTTCTGGACTGTGTGGCACTTTTTTTCATAAATCAGATGGCTGTATGATCATCTGATTTATGAAATCAGTGTGGGTCTGTTTCTGGACCAACCTGGGCAACATAGTGAGATCCCATCTCTACAAAAATTAATAAATAATACATAAAATGTTTTTAAGTGGGAAGAGAAGATGGTGTCATAGGTCGTAATTTATAAATGATTGTCAATTTCTTGGCTACATACAGATGTTGGTAAATCAGATCTGTTAGGAGTTTAGGCAAAATGTATTAAGAGAATTATATGGTGTTCAGAATGATTGCTAGATGTTCGTTGTGACTTCAATTAGATGTTGTTTGAGACTCACAGAGCTACAGGTTTTATTCTTTTATTTATTTATTTGTCTTTTAAAAAAATTTACAATTTTCCTGTCAAGGCAGTAACTCTTTTATACTTAATTGTTCTTAAGTATACCTAATTACCAGGAAATTTTTATGGATCATATCTAACTAAGTGGTAAGCCATTAAAGGACTGATGTGATGTAATGTAGACAATAGCATTCTACATAATAGTTTCAGGACTACATCAGTTAAATTGTTTCTTCTTCTTCTTTCTTCTTTCTTATTTTTTTCTCCTGCATGTAGTCTGAACACATCTTCTTCTTTTTGTTTTCTTGAGACAAGGTTTCGCTCTGTCGCCCAGGCTGGAGTGCAGTGGTGCAGTGGTATCATTGTGGCTCACTGCAGTCTTGACCTCTCAGGCTCTAGCAGTCCTCCCACCTCAGCCTTCTTAGTAGCTGGGACTACAGGCATGCACCACCATGCCTGGCTAATTTTGTATCTTTTGCATACAGGGTCTTCCTATGGTGCCCAGACTGTTTTCAAACTCCTGGGCTCAAATGATCCTCCCACCTTGGCATCCCAAAGTGTTGGTATTACAGGCGTGAGCCATCACTCCTGGCCATTTTAGTTTTAATCATTTTATATTTTTCTAATTTAAAATATTTATTATTTATGAATATAATATTGTTATTATGATTATTTTGTATGTGTTTAATCTCATTTTCAAAATATGCTTGTGGAAATTAGAGATCCTGTCTCTTATTTACTACTGTGTTCTCAGCCTGACCTTGCCTGGTATGAAACAGATATTCAATAAGTAGCTGTTACATGAATGAACGAACCTCATTCAGCAATTCTCCAAGTATCACAGCTTTCACTATCTAACAAATAAAAGAGCTTGTGTAGAATAGAGTCACAGTTAACCTGCCATAAAAGGAAACGTCAATGAAAATAGACCTTTGTATGTGCAGCTGCTAAGATTTTGGGGCTTTTGTTACTACGGCATAAGCTAGCAAAGCTCAGTGAGACGGCAGATAGAATATACATATAGAAATAGACCAGATAGACCAGTGGATGAGATTCCAAAGATAGTTCAATCAGCATTAACTAACCACACCCACACTCTCTTAATTTCCTAACAGAAAGAATGGAATTCCTGTTCACTAAGATCTGCCCCAGATGTTACTTATTTTGTGAAAACTTCTCTGGCTACTCAGGAATCCCCCTGCTTCAGCCTCCCAAGTAGCTGAGATTGCATGTGTGTGCCACCATGCTTGGCTAATTTTTTATTTTCAGAGACAGGGTCTTACTATGTTGCCCAGGCTGGTCAGGACTGTTGATTGCATATGACAGAAACCCAATAAACTCTAGTTCCTCACCACCTTTCAATCTGCTCTTTTCTCAGTCTTGCGAGTCTCAACAAATGACAGTTCCATCCTTTAAGCTGCCCAAGCCCTGAATCTTAATGTTAACCTTGATTTCTCTCTTTTATATCATAGCTGGTATGAAGTCCAATCATGTTCAGACCCAGGTGGAGGTTCCTGCTGACCCAGGCTCTTACCAGCACATCGTCCTTTACTGTCCTCCTGAGGGTGTCTGGAGCTTCAGTGCTGTGTGCTCTTGGCCTTCACGCCGGGGCACCTGCTGTCCAGGGCTTCCAGTGGACTCTCCGAGGCACTGATGTAGAATCTTCCCCATTCGGTGCACCAAGAGCAGCCTCACGCAGTGTGGGCTGACGTGAAGAGCTGCCAGATCTAACAGGTAAAAATCACGAGGCACTGCCAGCTGGATGGGGTCAGAGAGTCCTCTCTCCATTACGATTCAGATGAGAAGGGAAGATTCCATAGGCCCTAAACATTGCAGCATGACCCGCATGTGCCACCCATGAGCTGCAGTGCATGGTCAGGTGGAAGTTATTTGACTTCAGGAGAGGACAGTGTTCTCTTCAGGCCTTTTCCTCAGTGGCTGGATCTGCATCCCTCTCCTCTCTCTTCCCCTCTCACCCCCCAGTCTCCGTCCCCATTTCTCTCTCTGCTTCCACCTTGCTGTTCCCTTTCACCTGCTTTTACCTCTTCAAGTTTCATGGTTCCCCGCTCCCTGTCCACCCACATTTCCAAGGCTAAGTCCCCTGAGCTCTCCTGGGTGGGGAGATGTGTCTGGTTTTAGGCGGTGCCCTCTAGATGTGTCCAGGATAGGGAAACACGGCTCCACTGCCAGTATAATGGTTTCAGAGGGTGGCCACTTTTGAAGGCCTTTCACATCTCCCATTCTGGAATTGTGTAGGACTTAAAATTGATGGGCCACTGTGGAATTCTTGGTTCCTCAGGACCTTGCGGTGGTTGCCTTCTTTCACTGAGCATTCACAGGGTGGCTATTAGGTGCCAGGCCCTGCTCTGGGGTGGGGGAACCACAATGAGTAAATGTCAGGTCACTGCCCCATGGAACCCACCACTGCAGGCATCAAAAGGGGGAGAAAGAAAGCGGCGTGGCCTGTTTGTGTCCTCATATGGTCACCTGCCAGGTCCTGGAGGAGTGGGAGCCACTGCAAGGAGAGAAACCCAGTGAGAAAGGCAAAGGGATGATGTCAGACCCAGGGGCTAAGACCCCCACCTGCAGCTGGTTAGCTTCTGGAGTGGACAAGGAGCAGCAGGGAAGGTCGTGGCCTGGTGTTCTAGGATTCACCGTCCCATCTCATTCCTGTGGGTGCCAAAATTGTCCAAAGGGAAGACTCAGTGTGTCTAACAACAGCAGGCCAGAGACAGACGGTGTTTCAGAGAAGCAGGAAGGATTGTTCGCCATGGAAACAGTATATGGTTTTATAGTAGTGCGTCTCTGTCTCTTAACTAGTTAGCGTGTTCCTGTTAATGGAAAATATTGGTGGTGTAAGTTCCCCTGGATCTTCTCATCTTCATGTAAGTTTGTCTGCTCCCCCATCCCTCCCTTTTTTCCTTCTTTTCCTTCTTTCCTGAGTTTTCTGACCAGAGTCATGGGAGGCTAAAATCCAGGAATGGCCTGGGTATGCTTTTTCTCTAGAGTTCAAGCTTTTATTCCAAGTTCACTGCAGATATTGGAAAAACTTTCTATTCTTGTTTGTGGGGGACTGAGGGCCCTTTTTCTGTGCTGGCTGTCAGCCAGGAGACACTCTGACTTCAGAGGCCACCCGCTTTCCTCCTTACCTGTCTTTTCCATCTTTCAACCAATCACAACTCATGGAGTCCTTCTCAAGCTCCTTCCTTCTCTGACTTCATCTTCTCCAACCAGCCACAGAAAGCTCTGTCACCTACGGAGTGATGCGATTCAATCCAGTTCATGCAGGTAACCTCACCATCTTCAAGTCATGTATCTGTCATATAACAACATAATCACAGGAATCGTGTCTCATCACCTTAATAAGCTTCAGAGACAAGGGTATGGCATGTTTGGGGACCATTTCAGAAATTCCATCTACCACAATTGGACACTCACATTCCCCCATCTGCAAAATGCATTCATCCACTCCTCTAAAGTTTCCAAATTTCATGTTATTAAAGCATTAGTTCAACATGAAAAATGTCACATAGACCACATCAGTTCCAAAGTTTAAAATCTCATCTAAAACAACCACACCAGGTGTGGATGAGGCTTCTAAGGGTGTACATTAAGTACGGATCCTTGACATAATTTCCTTACCTCCGTCGACCTGTGAAACTGAACAAACTGCTTATCTGCTCCTAATGAGGAATGGCAGGACAGACACAGAATAAGAATTACAGTGATTCTAGTTCAAAAAGAAGGAACATGGAAGGGAGAAAGAAGTCACCGACCCAAAATAGTATGGAAGTGGAGCTGGGCAAAATCCAGCAGGAGGTTCTTAAGTAGGATCCACAGCCTGGGACTGAGCCTCCATCCTGTGGGACTTTGCCTCTGGGACATTTGCTCTGCATTTCTTGAAACCATTATTATCTATCTTATTTTTTTCCCCACTCCTTTGGTTCTTCTCCTTTCTCCTCATGGCAGCATCCTCTGCTTAATCCTTGGTCAGTCATCCCCAGCAGAATTGGTCAGATATTGCCCGTGTCACAGTCCTGACCATCTCCACGAGGGGCTGTCCTTGTGAGCCCGTGTTCCTCTGAGATTGTCTTCACAGACCTGACCTCTCTCAGTCATGATTGCTTTCAGCTGACCTGGCTGGGTTAGAAGAAAACCTGAGAGTATGGAGTCCCAGAACCATTCTCTGCCCTCTCTATCTCCAGGAGAGGAAAAAAATAACAGGGATCTTCATGGAGAAATAACCCACGTGAGGGCCTGGACTCTCCAGCAGTTACAGCAGAGGAAACTCCCTGAGGAGCATAGAGGAACTGAATGCCCAGACTGGGAACGCAGGGTTGTGTTAAGCACTATTTAATCCTCACGTGCTCCCTGCCCCAATCTACAAGTCAGTGAATGACAATAGACTGAGAATAAGTAATAGGACAATAGAACCATGATAAAGAATTGTCCAAGGAAAGGCCCTTTTACTCTGTTTGCAAGGAGAAATTGCTGTATTGGATCCAAAGTTTTCTGAAAGGCAGCAGTGAGTTTCTGGAGGGTGAGTTACCTGCTTTGCACAGGGAGGCTGAGGCCAAGGCTTGTGTGGTCTATCTCCTGCCACTAGGTGGTGAGGGAGCCTGGGAGAGTCTTAGTCTTTCTGGACTTGAGTTTTCTCATCAGTAAAGTGGGGGCTTATTGTACCTCTCTGAGGTCCCTTCCTGCTCAGTTTTCTCTGAGTCCTTGAGGGACTAATATGGTTTTTAACACTTCCTGGACCTGTAACCTGCCTTTGACCTCTGTGGGTCTGACTCCTGACTTTCGCCCCTGTGTTTCTCCTGCAGAGCCTGAGCTGAGTCCACACCCTGGAAGCCAAGAACTGAGGGAACAGATGGAAGAAAGAAAGTCAGCAGGTTTTGGAAAAGAGAATAAACTGCAAAGGACAAGTCAATGCTAGAACAGGTGAGAAACAAAGAAGGGGAGAATAAGGACAAACTGGGCCAGAAGCCTCAGGGGAAATGGGCAATGGACCTATGATCATTCAACCACTCGAGGAGCAGCTCAATCTGAGCAGTGGGGACTGAGAGAGAAACTTACTCCACAGGAGTCTCCTGACCCTGGCCAGGGAGAACCAAAGCGGGGATCAGAGCTGGTTTATAGTGAGGGGAAGCACCAACTCCAAGAGAGGGAGGATGCAACCGTGAGCCCCACTCCAGACCCAGGAGCCTCGACCTCGGGGCTGCCGTAGCAGTGGATGCTCTTCACATCAGTGTGGGTTAGAGAGAAGAAACATGCTTGGAGAAGGGTTAGAGATGTCTGTTCTTAAATGAAACAGTTCTGCCCTAGATCACGTGTCCAAGTAAATGTTTCTTGCCAGTATATGAAGCAGTGATAGTTACACTATTCCTCTGCACTTTCAGTTGAGGAAGGTCTCTGTATGATATGAGTATTTACTGGGTGTTTAATTTTCTCTACACTGTTAAGCACTTGGGGTTCAAATAGTAGTGTTTCCCCAAGGAACTCAAGCTCATGAGAGAAAGAACACAGAAACATGATTTCAAGAAAATATAGTAGATCTCTGAAAGTGGGGTGTCATGGCAGCCCAGAGGATGGGAGTGGAGGTGAAGACATTGCTCCTAATGACAAGAGGAACCGTAAGAGGAATGCTTCAGAGTAGTCCCGTTTTTCCTCCAGTGTCCCAGAGAAGATCCTGGGACATTACTGGTGTAGAGCAGGGGTCTACAGGTGTAGGAAGGGGGCTTGCTGCATCTTGGGAGAAATTATAGCATCCCTGGTAGGACACTTTGGAGAGGAATGTTGGTGATTGGTTTGGATGTCTGTAGTCGGTTTTATCCTATCTTCAGTGAACACTGCTGAGACCTTCCTTAGTGCCAGACCCTAAGCTGGGAATCATGAACACAGAGACGAGTAAGAATATGATCTCAGCTTTCACAGAACTCAGTCCAGTGAATAGCAAGTTATGAGAAGTGTAGTAATGGTGGCTTCATTAGAGCAAGTGGCTCATGCTGCATGGAGATGACCTCAGTGGATGGCTGGGTCCCCCTTCTGGTTGTTATCAACAGCTGGATGACTTGCTCTGGGCCAGTGACCCTGGATTTCTGCCAGGTGTCCGCATCTTAGGTACAAGCAACACCTCAGTTTCCTGTTGGGGTCAAAACAGTTAACACTGCCAAGGTGATCAGAAGACACTAGTGACATCAGCAGCTACTGATGAGGTCCCGGCCAGCTAGGGAAATAAAGATGTAAGTTTAACAATGATTCTAAATTTGTTCTTAACATCATGAGCAGAGAGCATCTGTCTTCTAAGTTAAATACTTTTTAGACTTCAAGATTCACCCACGTCCAAAATAAAATCTATATCAGCCATATTACTGCCCTGAGATGATTTCTCCCTGTCCTTACCAGAAGTCTGCACTATCTGGAGCACTGAGGCTGTCTCAAGGTAACTGATCTGCTCCCTGGATTCCAGGGTCACCCGCAGAGCCAGAGGTTGAAGGCACAAGCGTTGATATCTCCGACCGTTCTGACTCCAGGTTGATCTACCCCAATGCCCAGTATTGGTCACACAGTAACAAGATGCCACCAAAATTTTGATTTGGGGCTATCATGTCATAATTTTAATAAAATTTAATAGATATTATTTTTAGAATAATTCTAGATTTACAGATAAATTGAGCTGATAGCACAGGGAATTCCCCTATTCTCTCTTGTCCCCTAGAACACAATTTCCTCTATCATTAGTATCTTGCATTAGTGTGATACATGTTTACAATTGATCAATCAATATTGATATGTTATTATTAACTAAACTCCATAGTTTACATTAGGGTTCATTCTTGAAGTTTCATAGTTCTGTGGGTTTTGACAATTACCTAGTGTCATGAATCCTCAGTACAGTACCACACAAATTTCACTGCTGAAAACATCCTTGTGCTCAACCAATTCACCCCTCCTCCACACTTGGCAATCACTGATCATTTCACTGTCTCTACAGTTTTGACTTTCCTGGAATGTCCTAGTGTTGGAATCATAAAGTGTGTAGAGTCTTTAGACTAGTTGCTTCCTGGCATTATGTATTTAAAGTTCCTTCATGTCTTTTCATGGCCTGATAGCTCATTTCTTTTTATCACGAATCATATTGTGTTGTACAGATATTCCACAGTTTGTTTAGCCATTCACTTAGTAAAGGACATTTTGGTTATTTCCAGTTTTTGACAAGTATGAGCAAAACTGTTGTAAATACTTGGATGCAAGTTTTTGAGTGAACATGTTTTCACATTACTGTGGTAAATACCTAAAACTGCTATTTGCAGGATTATGGAGCAAGGCTATGTTTAGCTTTGCAAAAAAAATAAAATAAAATAAAACCTGCCAAACTGTTTTCCAAAGTGACTAGCATTTTGCATTTCCACTAGCAGTGAATGAGAGTCCCCGTTTCTCTGCATCTTTGACAGCCTTTGGTATTGTCACTTGTTTGGATTTGAGCCATTCTATTAGGTATATATTATAGTGTAGTGGCATCTCATTGGTTGAACATGCAATTTCCTAGTGACACGTGATTTTGAGCATCTTTTCCATATGCTTCTTTGCCATTCATATGTCTTTTCTGGTGAAGTATCCAGATCTTTCGCCCATTTCTGAATTGGGTGGCTTGCTTTTTTATTATTGAGTTTTAAGAGTCCTTTATATATTTTGGACACCAGTCTTTGATCTGATCTGTATTTTGCCAATATTTTTTCCCCAGTCTATCACTTGTTTATTCATTTTCTTAACAATGTCTTTCACAGAGCAGAAGTTTTTAATTTTAATGAAGTTCAGCTTATCAATTTTTTCTTTCCTGGATTGTGCTTTTGACATTTTATCTGAGAAGTCATCGCTAAACACAAAGTCACCAGATTTTCCCCTATGTTATCCTGTAGGAGTCTTAGAGTTTTGCACCTTACATTCAGGGGTAAGATCCATTTTGTGAAAGGTGTAAAATCTGTGTCTAGACTTATTTATTTTTCACATGTGGATATCTAGTCATTCTAGCACGATTTGTTGAAAAGACTATCCTTTCCCTGTTAAATTGCCTTTGTGCCTTTCTCAAAGATCAGTCTATTTCCAAGTTCTGAATTATTTTCTAGTGACCTATTTGTCTGTTTTTTTCTTCCTTCACAAATTTCCATACTCTTTGGTTACTGTAGCTTTATAATTAGTACTAAAGTCGGCAGTGTCAGTTCTGTGGGCATTTTTCTGATCTTTACCATGAGAACCTGGTTGGGCTCCAGGTGGTAAAACTTAGAAAAGTGTGAGATCCCCCCTAAATCTGGGCCCCAAGGAGTTTTGAATGCTCAAGCCAGGCCACCCTCAGCTTCTAGTAATCTGTCAGTACCATTTAAGTGCTCCTCCCATTTGCTGGCTTCAGCAACTTCTGTTCCCTGTGTTTGCCTGTCTTTCTTGTTTTCAGCCTGGCAATATGCCCTGTGACCTCTCCTCTAGGCCCTCTAATAAGGTTTGATAAATTTCAGTTTGTTCAGCTTTTTTCTTGTTGTGAGAACAAGTGGTGACCTCCTGGCTCCTTACAAGTTGGAGTAGAAACCAGAAATTTCATTGAACAAGTTACTTGTAATAAAAGTCACTAATTGTAAATATAGAACTCAATAATTTCAGTAGATATGTAGAATTTTGTAGCCATCACCTTAGTCCCCTCTTAGAATACAGACTACATTTCTTCCCTCCCCAGATTCCTCAGAGGCTCCTTGCAGTCTTTTCCAATCCCTGGTCACCATGATGGAGCCTGAACAACATTAAAATTTGGGAAACAGACATTACATTTCAGCTTTTATTAGATTGGGATTTTATCTAATGGACCATTGTCTTACTCTTGTGTCAACTAGAGGAGATATTTTATTCTAAGGACTTTCTTTGGGGGAACTTAGTAGTAGTCCTGTTTATTGCTCTCCTTGAATTGGTTCGTCTATGCTGGTAACAGATAGTTACTATCAAACCTTGCCTGGTGATCACAAGTGAAAGAGCTAAAAGAAAATCCTTCTATTAGAAATGTAGATGATGAATTTTCAGATAATGTTATGCAGAGTTACATTTGTTTGTTTTTGAGCCGGAGTTTCGCTCTTGTTGTGCAGGCTGTAGTGCAATGGTGAGATCTTGGCTCACTGCAACCTCTGCCTCCTGGGTTCTAGCAATCCTCCTGCCTCAGCCTCCCGAGTACCTGGGATTACAGGCATGCACCACCATGCCAAGCTAATTTTGTATTTTTAGTGGAGACAGGGTTTCTCCATGTTGGTCAGGCTGGTCTTGAACTCCCACCTTCAGGTGATCTACCCTCCTCAGCCTCTCAAAGTGTTGGGATTACAGGCATGAGCCACGATGCTGGAGTGCTATGTGCAATCTCAGCTCACTGTAACTTCTACCTGTAGGGTTCAAGTGATTCTTGTGCCTCCGCCTTTCGAGTGGGTGGGATTACAGACATGCACCACCACACCCGGCTAATTTTGTATTTTTAGTAGACAAAGAGTTTCTCCGTGTTGGTCAGGCTCATCTCGAACTACCAACCTCACGTGATCCATGCACCTTAGCCTCCCAAAGTACTGGGATTACATGCATGAGCCGCCACACCTGGCTGGGAGTTACATATTTAACATCTTTTTATTTTTCTTTCTTTCAGAAATTGGATTGGTAAGATTGAAGAGACACTTCTCACCTGCCTGAAATGCCCTTCATTATCTTCTTCAAGTTGCAAGGGCTCTGGAACAGCCCTTACAGTGCTCCCAGAAAGGTAAGTATAACATTTTACTGTAGCCCCTTGCTTTTTTTTCTTTTTTGTGCCTATAGGGATTAGCATACATGTATGTGAAAATATAACCAGAGTACAGATAGGCACCTGTAACTAGTTTTCTGTTGCTACCTATGAACGCATTATAACAAGTTAGTGGTTTGAAACCACAGAAATCAGGATTGATTGGGTTCTCTGATCAGGGTCTTAGGAGGCTGAAATCCAGTTACTGACTGCCTGTGTTTTTCATCTAGAGCTCAGGCTACTCTTCCAAGTTCACTACAGATGTATTGGCAGAATTCCTCTTCTTGTGGGTGGAGGACTGAGATCCCTTTTTCAGTGCTCCTGGTTCTCAGCCAGGAGACACCCTGACTCCAGAGGCCACCTGCATTCTTTCTCACTTTTCCCATCTTCCAACCAACAACAGCCCATGGAATTCTTCTCCAGCTCCCATCCTCTATCTGACTATGTCTTCTCCTACCCACTAGAGAAATCTCTGACACTTAGGGAGTGATGTGGTTCCATCTGGCGCACTCAGGAAAGCTCAGCCTTTGTATTAGTCTGTTCTTGCAGTGTTATAATGAATGACCTGGGTGATTTATAAAGAAAAATGTTTACTCAGATCAGGGTTCTGTGGGCTATGCAGGCTTCTGTTTCTGGGAAGGCTTCAGGAAACTTATAATCATGGTGGAAGTGGAAGCAGGCATGGTCTTCACATGGCCAGTGGGGGCTGGAGGTGGGGGGGAGAGAGAGGAGAGAGAGAGAGAGAGAGAGGAGTAGGGGGAAGTGCTACATACTTTTAAACAACTAGATCTCATGGAAACTTTTTCATGCGACGACACTTGGGGGATGGTGCTGAGCCATTAGAAACCATCCTCATGATCCAATAACCTCCCGCCAGCAGCCCCCCAACACTCAGGCTTATAATTCAACATGAGATTTGGGTGGGGACACAGAGCCAAACCATACCACTCTTTAAAGTCATATGACTGCCATGTAACAAAATAATCACAGAAATGTCTCATCAGCTTAACAGGTTCCAGAGATAAGGGTACAGCATGTTTGGAGACCGTTTTAGAAATTCCACCTATCACAGTTCAACTTCTAGTCTGCAGACATTCACGTTCCTCACAGATGCAATTCTTCATTCAACCTCTCACCTAAGGTTTCCAGGTTTCCTGTCGTGAATGCATTAGTTCAAAGTGAAAAATGTCATGTAGCTCTAATCTGATCGAAAGTTTAAAATCTCATTTAAATCATCTACACCAAGTGTGAATGAGGCTTCTGAGGGTGTCCATTAAGTACAGATTCTTTTTTGTTTTTGTTTTTGAGAGTGAGTCTTGGTCTGTGACCCATGCTGGAGTGCAGGGGTGTGATCTTGGTTTACTACAACTTCTGCCTCCAGGGTTCAAGCGATTCTCCTGCCTCAGCCTCTTGAGTAGCTGAGATTACAGGCATGCACCACTGGATTCAGCTAATTGTTTTGTATTTTTAGTAGAGATGGGGTTTTGCCCTGTTGGCCAGGCTAGTCTGAAACTCCTGACCTCAGGGGATCCGTCCCCCTAGGCCTCTCAAAGTACTAGGATTACAGGCATGAGCCACCGTGTCTGGCCCAAGTACAGATCCTTGATATAATCCCCTTACCTCTGTTGACCTGTGAAACTGAACAAACAGCTTATCTGTCCTCAATGTGCACTGGTGGGACAGTCACAGAATAACGATGCTAGTGATTCTTGTTCAAAAAGAGGGAAAGTGGAGGGAACAAAGTCACTGATCCAAAACCATTTTGAAATGGGGCCCAGCAAATTCCAGCAGGAATTTCTTGATTAGGCTTCTCAGCCTGGAACAAACCCTCTGTGACAGGGGGCTTTGTCTCCGGGCTCTGCATTTTTTTCTATTGTTACTGAAAACATTTTATTTTTCTTCTTCCCCCGCTCTTTTAGTTCTTCCCCTTTCTCCTCATGACAGCATCCTCCACTTAATCCTTGTTGCATCATCTCCAGCAGAATTGGTCAGGTATTGCCCATGTCATGGTCCTGACCATCTCCATGAGGGGCTGGCCTTGTGAGCCCGTGCTCCTCTTCACTCACCTGACATCTCGCAGTCATGATTCTTTTCAGCTGCCCTGGCTGGCTTAGGAGAAAACCTAAGACTCTAGAGTCCCAGAACAAATCTCTGCCCTCTCTGTCCCCAGGAGAGGAAGAAAATAACAGGGATCTTCATGGAGAAATGACCCAGGTGAGGGCCTGGACTCTCCAGCAGTTAGAGCAGAAGAAAGTTTCTGAAGAAGAATGGAGGAGCTGAGAGCGCAGGCCAGGAAAGCAGGATTGTGTGAAACGCTATTTAATGCTGTGTGCTCCCTGCCCCGATCTAGTAGCTAGTGAATGACAGCTGACTAAGTATAAATGCCAGGACTATAGAACTATGATAGAGTTTGTCCAAAGAAAGGGGCTTTTACTCTTTGTTATCACAGTGGAAATTGCTGTTTTTCATCTAAAGTTTCTGAAAGGCAGCAGTGAGCTTCTGGAGGGTGAGTTACCTGCTCTGCACAGGGAGGCTGAGGCCAAGGCTTGTGTGTGAGATCTGCTGCCACCAAGCGGTGAGGGAGGGAGCCCGGGAGAGTCTCAGTCTTTCTGGGCTTCAGGTTTCTCATAGGTAAGGTAGTGGCTTTTTTACCTCTCCGAGGTCCCTTCCTGCTCTGTTTTCTCTGAGTCTCTGAGGAATTGAGATGGTTTTCAATGCTGCCTGGGACCTTCAGCTGAGACCTGACTCTGTGTGTCTCCTGCAGGAGCCTGAGCTGAGTCTACACGCTGGAATCCCAGAGCTGAGGGAACAGGTGAAAGAAAGAAAGTCAGCAGGTTTAGGAGATGAGAATAATCCACAAAGGGCAAGGCATTGGTAAATGAAAACCAAAGAAGGGGAGAATAAGGACAGGCTGGGACAGAAGCCTGAGGGGAAATGGGCAATGCCTATGATCATTTAAATTCTCAAGGAGCAGCATGAGCTGAGCAGTGGGGTCTGGGAAACTTACTCCACAGGAATCTCCTGCCTCTGGCCAGAGAGAGCCATAGGTTAAATCAGAGCTGCTTATAGTGAGGGGCAGCTTCAACTCCAGGAGGGGGAGAATGTGACCGTGAGCCTCCACCCCAGACCCGGGAGCCTCGACCTTGGGGCTGCCTAACAGTTATGCTCTTCAGGTCAGTGTGGGTTAGAGGGAATAACCGTGCTTGGAGAAGGGTTGGAGATGTCCATTCTTACATTGAACAGCTCTGCCCTAGGTCAGGTGCCAGAGTAAGTGTCCCTTGCTTGTATATGAAGCAGTGATCCTTATGCTATTCCTCTGCACCTTCAGTTGAGGGAAGTTTCCCATAAATATTTATTATTTACTTTTCTTTATACTATGCTAAACACTTGGAATTCAGGTATTTAATGTCTCTAAAGAAACTGAAGCCAGTGAGTGGAAGAACACAAACAGATCCTTTCAACAAGATACGGTAGTTCTACCCAACTGAGGTGTTGTGGCAGCCTGGAGGATGGGAGGGTATGTCAAAGGACATTGCTCCTAATGACGGGGGAAGCATAAGAGAACATTTTCAGATTGGCTGGGTGCAGTGGCTCACGCCTATAATCTGAGCACTTTGGGAGGCCGAGGTGGGTGGAACACAAAGTCAAGAGATTGAGACTATCCTGGTCAACATGGTGAAACCCCATCTCTACTGAAAATACAAAAACATTAGCTGGGCATGGTGGTGCGCACCTGTAGTCCCAGCTACTTGGGAGGCTGAGGCAGGAGAATTACTTGAACCCAGGAGGCGGAGGTTGCAGTGAGCCAAGATCATGCCATTGCACTCAAGCCTGGGTAACTAGAGTGAAATTCCACCTAAAAAAAAAAAAAAAATTCAGAACAGGCTAGTCTTCCTTCAAGCTCCCACAGGAGAGGATCCACGTTCAGGGATGGTGTAGGGCAGGCGCCTCTCTAGGGAAGGGGATTTGCAGCATTCTGAGAGAAAGAGCATCCTTACAAGATTTTGGGGACAGAAATATAGGTGAAAGGGTCGGAGGTTTCTAATCAATTTTATTCAGTCATGGATGAACACTGCTGAGAGGCCCCTCTGTGCTGGGCCCTTAGCTAAGAACCATGACCACAGAGGTGAGTAAAATAGGATCCCAGCTTTCACACAATTGTCAGCCTAGTGACTGGTGATTCATGAGAAATGTAGTGATGGTGGGTTCATCGGAACCAGTGGCCGATGCCACATGAGATGACCTCAGTGGATGGCCTGGGCCAGTAACCCTGGACTTCAGCCATGTTTCAGCATCTCAAGGTACAGCACACCAATGCCTCAGCTCCATGTTGAGTCAAAGTAGTTAACACAGCCAAGGTATTCAGAGGACACTGGTGATATCAGCAGCTATTGAGTGTTTCCAGCTGGGGAAACAAAGAAGTAAATTTAATAAGTCTTCTAAATTTGTCTTTGCCATAATGATAAATAACTTTATCTTCATAATGAATTATATCCTGGCAAATTAATTATAACTTGACATAATGAGTAATAACTTTATGCTGAGTACAGCCGACACACAAGCCCTTGAGGACACATGTCTGAGGATTCTGATGAAGATATGATGTCCAAATATGTACACATTTGGACCTACAGTCCAGCTTTGAAACAGTGGAAGACCCAGTTTCAAATTCAAGGTTGCTTTGAGTAGAAGTTCACTTTACCTCTCTTTGCATGGCAATGGGTCCAGTCTTCCCTAAGCTGCCCCTTACAAGAAAAGGAATCATACTGGTAAGATTTCAGACTTCAGCAGACATGGGTAAGTAAGGAAGCCTTAAAAATCTCTTCTAGCCACCTAGCAAGAAATCAGAAATTTAGCAAGTTCATTCATATTCAGGACAGTTGTGTGCATTAGATCAGAGACACTGATACATGAAGAACAGACCCCTAACAAGGGAAAGTATTGCTTCCTGTCCTAGGACATCACTGCCAACTTCAGGGAAGTGGGAACACAGCTGCCCGCTTTACAGTATGGGTTACTTTTGTGCCTGGAATGTGTCTGACATCCTGAGACCTGTACCCATTTCAGGGAGCCTTGGGAGGAGCCTGAATCACGGATGGAATTGGACAGTGCATGGAGATGGTTGAGCAGGATGAGGGTAAGTGCAGGGGCATGGCCAGGTCATACTGGGAGACAATGAGCAGCACTGATGGGGACAGAGAAAGAGAAAGTCAACAGTTTGTGCTTCAGCATCAGAAACTCAAACCAATAACGAATTTGCTTTTATAAGTAATAAGTATTTTTCTATTTACATGAGAATTTAATCTCCAAAGAGAAATCATAAAAATAGTAAGTCCAGGGCATAAAATGTGAACCATAGCTGATATTTATTCTTTCTAAATAGAGCCATCAGTAAAATCTTCTTCATAAAACATATATTGTGGTTACAAAAAGGCAAAAGTCAGCCGGGTGTGGCAGCTCATGCCAGAAGTCCCAGCATTTTGGGAGGCCGAGGCGGATGGATCATGACGTCAGGTTATCAAGACCATCTTGACCAACATGCTGAAACCCTGTCTCTGCTAAAAACACAAAACATAGCAGGGCGTGCTGGCATGTGCCTGTAGTCCCAGCTACTTGGGAAACGGAGGCAGGAGAATCACTTGAACATGGGAGGCAGAGGTTGCAGTGAACCGAGATTGTACCACTGCATTTCAGCCTGGTGACAGAGCAAGACTCTGTCAAAAAAAAAAAAAAAAAGAGAGAAAGAAGAAGAAAGAAGAAGCAGCAGAAGAAGAAAGAACGAGGAGGAGGAGAAGGAGGGGGAGGAGGAAAGAAAGAAAGAGGAAGAGAGAAAGAAAGAAAGAAAAAGAAAAGAAAGAAAGTAAGAAAAATAGCAAAAGTCTTAGTAAAAATAATTGGTGTTCCTTAGAAGAGAATTAAATATAGTCAAGGGAAGACCAAGTCTCATACTTCTCTTGTATATTCCTAAGTTACAGGGAAATTCCAGGTAATAGAGGTTATTTCCCATGCTGTTAAAGCAAGGTTGCAGACACTTCTGAATTTTGGGCCCAATACTCTAGGAGGGAACAGCTCTGTCCTGGAAAATAATACAGGAATTGATACTCCTCCTATGACTCATTGTGGTCATTCATCCAGCATCACAGAAACCAAAAATGGAAATATGACCAAATTCATGATTTGCCAGCCCTCTTGTTCAGGTTTCTTACCTGATTCTTAGGATAACAGCATTACTTTGAAGATTATGATGAAGATATGCTGTCCAAATATGTGCACACTTTTGAATAAAATGCCTGGTACAAATTGGTCAACAAATAATAACTGAATAATTATATGAATATTTACTGAATGACATGGATCCTATGAATAATTATGGAATAATTATTGTAATTGCTTTTACTAGCCGTTCTCAAAACTCATCTATGTGTGACCTCAAGTAAGCCACATAACTTTGTGAACCTGCAGGTTCATCATTTTTAAAATGAAGAAACCTGACAGCTTTTCATTCTGCCACAGGTCAGGCCTCCCAGATACCAGAACATACATTTAGTTAAAGCCTTTGATATATTTCAAAGCAGTATCCTTACAGTGTAGTTGGAGGATGGTGGGGGCTGCAGAGAGGCACGCTTTCCAGTGGGATTGATCCAGTCCTCCTTCCTTCATTGCCACATGAATGCTGGGCAGCCCAGGGTCACACCCATTGCACCCTCAACTCAGGCAAGCCCAGCAGCCAAACATAGGAGACCTGGGCTACAGAACAGTCTCCCAAGTCTCAGGCTCACAAAACCTAGGTGGCAATGAAAGCTGAGAAAGTGAGGAGGTGGTTCAGGTGATCACTCTTCCCTACTCGTTCCTCTCATCTCAAATTGGCCTTCTATTGCACAGCAACACGGAGGACTACCAACCACACCTTGATCTTGCTGTGTTTGGTTAGTGGGATGCAACCACACATCAATGGTGTTAGACCAACTCAGAAAAATATCTATCAAACAGTATTCCATAAGGGCCACTCATGGCCCTGTTATTTTCAACATATAGAAAAAACAAAATGAAAACAACAAAATCATATCAGGTTTACAAGACTTCCCAAGAAAGATGGTCACACTTGTTTTCAGGAGATCTCTATAGAAATGATATTGATGACTTGATACCTTGAAAAGAGCTCTTCTGGGACTAGAATGATACCCATAAGTGACAAGAATGAGATGTAGTGTGCAGTCACATTAAAAAACAAATCACTCCACATAGAGGAAGCTTTGGACGTAGGGACATCTCACTGGTCTTAAGTGTAATGAAAAGACTCTTCTGCCACAAACATCAGTGTAGTGGTATCTGCCAGTAAGAAAAACTAAATCAGCATAACCATGGGATGCAGCAAGAAGAATATTGAGCCAGGAAAGAAAACATTTTTAAGAAATGAATTACTCATTGACTTTCTAGTGGATACAGAAAAAATTGCAGAAGACTCAGAGGATATCATGACAGTGTAATAGATTGATATCTTAAACTTGTGGAAAAGCCTTAAATTCTGTTTTAACATTTGAGAAGGAGAGGTGACTGACTTCATGACTAGCATTAAGAAGGTATCATGTGTTGGGAAACTGTTTCTGCCTTGATGGTTTTACACACATAAGAGATGAAAAATGAGGCACATGCTTAGATGTATTGGAAATGAGATGGGACTGTGGCATTGTCACAACGATACACAGATACTGAGAGTGACTTATAGAGTAATGGTCCCCATCTGTTGTGACCTCAGGTGAGACCAGGAGGCCTGTGTTTTAGCAAACCCTGGGCAATGGAATGAAGGGCTCCTAAGATTCCATGACACGCCCAGCTTCTAATTCTGTTATTGCAACAGCAGACCGTTACCTGGGACACTGCCCACTATCTCCCACACTCTTGTGAGAGTCTGAGCTGCAGACAGCGCCTTCAGTTCTCAGCTCAAGCATTGCGAACCTTGTTTTTGTGGTTAAGGACCCTAAAGTGCTGTGAGGAGGGATCAAGTTTTTCTCAACAGTAAGTTAACAATTTGAGTTAACTGACATCCCTAGTCCTGATTAAAACTATTTGGTTTCCAGTTTTTAACCCATCATGTGTTTGGGTTTCTTCTCCCCAGTACCTGGCTCTCCCTGTGGTGCCCCAAATGTCAGCATGGTGGCATCTGGCAGGACGTGTTCCAGGAAGGCCACAGAGATGAACTTTCCAGATACCATCGAGAATTCCTACTCCCAGCAGGAAGAGACCAAACGGAATATCAGAGCCAGCAAAAATAGACTTCTTATGAGCCAGATGGCCTACTTCCTGAACTACCAGCTAAAGACATACAGTAAGTTATATAGGTTGACCACCATGAAAGTGATGAATGATGTCCTGTCTTGTCTCGAGAAACTAACCATTCTCTTCATCAAAATTAGTTTCATCCTTCCCATACTTGTAGAAAACAGCAATGGGTATTTTAACCTTTAGTTAAAGATGGAAGACTGGCGAAAGTATTTAGCAACTTTTCCACGTCTTCAGTAAGGTGGGTGTGGGACTGGGGTTACAATCCTAGCTATTGATTTCTGACACAGGCACAGAACCACCTGTTTTTCTCAGCAAAAGGCTAAATCATGTTTACAGGAATCCTCTCTGTACCACCTAAGATTCTGCAGACAAGTAGCATCTAGACTGTTGGTCTAAATGCCTGACACTACTGAACTTCCATTTGGTTCTGGTTTCTGCTAAGGCCCAGTAGGCAAATCTGAGTTCTGGGGACACTGGGGGAAACACAGTGATAGCACACAGTACCCACTGTGAGGAGCTTGAAGGGAACCCTGCTCCTAATAGAACCTGTGGTATCTGTAAGTGGCACCATCAAGAGCAAGGAGTACCCTGGTACTGGTGACTCAACTCCCCAATTAGCTGGCATCCCCCGTGGGCACCACCACACCTGGATAATTTTTGTATATTTAGTAGAGGCGGGGTTTCACCATGTTGGCCAGGCTGGTCTTGAACTCCTGAAGTCAAGTGATCTCCTGCTTAAGCCTCCTAAAGTGCTGGGATTCCTGGCATGAGCCACCATGCCTGATCCACAGATTCTTTTTTCAGTAAAGGTTGTTAGAATTCATCCCTGGGTCCAGGCTCCTATATAAATTTCTCTAACAATTGATTGGCAATGATATATGATTAGATAAATCAGTATTGCAGCAACGCTTCTGGAAAGTAGGGCAATTTTTAAGGATTTTGGGGAAAAGGTTTAATTTTTTGCACTGACTTAGGTCAGAGGATGTGATTAAGATCTACTGAATGAGGGAGATTTTGTCCCATGGTTCTGAAAAGCAGGCTCATATACTTCTAGGGCGACTTAATCTAGGGACCGTTAGAAAATTCCTGTCAGAATGCCACATTCTTACACTGAGAATATTTTAAGTTCTTGTGCTATGATCGAACACTGATTTGGTCTTGTGTGAAGTGTGATTTGCTTAATGTGACCTGCTCTTCTGAATTTGTTTATAGAAGATTGAAAAGATCACGATGAAGAACAGAAATGCAGAGACAGCAAAAATAAACTTCTTATGAGTCAAGTGGCCTACTACCTGGGCTGCCGGCTGAAGACGGAAGGTAGTTTCTATAGGTTCACTGTCACGAAAGTGCTGAACAATGTCCTGTCTTTTTTCTGATAAGTGGTACACCCTCTTCTTCAAAGTTAATTTCATCATTCCCATACTTCTAGGAATATAGCAGTGGGTATTTTAGCATTTAGTTAAAGATGGAAGACAGAGGCTAATGTATTTAGCAACTTTTGCACGTCTGCAGTAAGGCGGGTGTGGGACTAGTGTTAATATCCCAGCAAATGATCCTGACACAAGCACAGAACCACCTGTATTTCTCAGCAAGAGGCTAAATCATGTTTACAGGAATCCTCTCTGTACCGTATAAGATCCTGCAGAACTTATAAGCAAGATAAAGGTAGAAGTGTTTATTTCCACGTTTCAAGGTGACTGAGTAGTTAAGACAAGTTGACTTTAAGGACATCAAGAGAGGAAGTAAGAAGAGTAAAAGCGAAGAAAAAACATCTTCAAATCATAGGAAAGGCTGTCAGTGATATCTCTCAGTCCCGATTAAACCAATTTGATGTCACCATTTTCTAACCCATCATGTGTTTGGGTTTCTTCTCCCCAGTCCCTGGTTATCTGTGTTCTGCCCCAAACGTCAGCATGGTGGCATCTGGCAGGCCTCCTTCCAGAAAAAACACGGAGGTGAACGTTCCAGAAGGCATTGAGAAATACTGCTCCCAGCAGGAAGAAAGCAAACCAAATTACAGAGTCAGCAAACATAGACTTCTTATGAGTCAGGTGGCCTACTTCCTGAACTACCAGCTGAAGACATACAGTAAGTTCTATAGGTTGACCACCACAAAAGTGATGAATGATGTCCTGTGTTGTCTTGAGAAACTAACAGATTTCTTCATCAAAATTAATTTCATCCTTCCCATACCTGCAGAAAATGGCAATGGGTATATTAACATTTTGTTAAAGATGGAAGACAGAGGTCAAATATTTAGCAACTTTTCCAAGTCTGCAGTAAGGTGGGGGGGACTAGTGTTAATATCCCTGCTACTGATTCCTGACACAGGCACAGAACCACCTGTTCTTCTCAGCAAAAGGCTAAATCATATTTACAGAAATCCTCTATACCATATAAGATCCTGCAAAATGTATAAGCAAGATAAAGGTAGAAGTGTTTATTTCCGAGTTTCAGGGTGACTGAGTAGATAAGACAAGTTGACTTTAAGGAGATCGAGATTGTAGATGAGAAGAGTAAAAGTGGGTAAATGACATCTTCAAATCAATGAGCAAGGCTGTCAGTGACATCCCTCAGTCCCGATTAAACCAATTTGACGTCACCAGTTTCTTTTTTTTTTTTTTTTTCCCATTTATTTATTTTATTGCATTTTAGGTTTTGGGGTACATGTGAAGAACATGCAAAATTGTTGCATAGGAACACACGTGGCAGTGTGATTTGCTGCCTTCCTCCCCATCACCTACATCTGGCACTTCTCCCCCTGCTATCCCTCCCCAGCTTCCCACCCCTCACCGTCCCTCCCCTATTTCCCCAGAACTGACCCAAGTGTGTAGTGCTCCCCTCCCTGTGTCCATGTGCTCTCATCGTTCAACACCCGCCTATGAGTGAGAACATGCGGTGTTTGATTTCTGCTCCTCTGTCAGTTTGCTGAGAATGATGGTTTCCAGGTTCATCCATGTCCCTACAAAGGACCCAAACTCATCGTTTTTGATGGCTGCATAATATTCCATGGTGTATATGTGCCACATTTTCCCTATCCAGTCTATCGTCGATGGGCATTTGGGTTGGATCCAGGTCCTTGCTATTGTAAACAGTGCTGCAATGAACATTCGTGTGCACGTGTCCTTATAGTAGAACGATTTGTAATCCTTTGGATATATACCCAGTAATGGGATTGCTGGGTCAAATGGAATTTCTATTTCTATGTCCTTGAGGAATTGCCACACTGTCTTCCACAATGGTTGAACTAATTTACACTCCCACCAACAGTGCAAAAGTGTTCCTGTTTCTCCACATCCTCTCCAGCATTTGCTGTCTCCAGATTTTTTAATGTTTGCCATTCTTACCGGCGTGAGATGGTATCTCAATGTAGTTTTGATTTGCATTTCTCTGATGACCAGTGATGATGAGCATTTTTTCATATGTTTGTTGGCCTCATGTATGTCTTCTTTTGTAAAGTGTCTGTTCATATCCTTTGCCCACTTTTGAATGGGCTTGTTAGTTTTTTTCTTGTAAATCTGCTTTAGTTCTTTGTAAATTTTGGATATCAGCCCTTTGTCAGATGGGTAAACTGCAAAAATTTTTTCCCAATCTGTTGGTTGCTGATTCACTCTAATGATTGTTTCTTTTGCTGTGCAGAAGCTGTGGAGTTTGATTAGGTCCCATTTGTCTATTTTGGCTTTTGTTGTCAATGCTTTTGGTGTTTTGGTCATGAAGTCCTTGCCTACACCTATGTCCTGAATGGTTTTGCCTAGATTTTCTTCTAGGGTTTTTATGGTGTTAGGTCTTATGTTTAAGTCTTTAATCCATCTGGAGTTAATTTTCGTGTAAGGTGTCAGGAAGGGGTCCAGTTTCTGCTTTCTGCACATGGCTAGCCAGCTTTCCCAACACCATTTATTGAACAGGGAATCCTTTCCCCATTGCTTGTTTTTGTCTGGTTTGTCAAAGATCAGATGGTTGTACATATATTGTGTTGCCTCCGAGACCTCTGTTCTGTTCCATTGGTCTATATCTCTGTTTTGGTACCAGTACCATGCTGTTTTCATTACTGTAGCCTTGTAGTATAGTTTGAAGTCTGGTAGTGTGATGCCCCCCGCTTTGTTCTTTTTGCTTAGAATTGACTTGGCTATGCGGGCTCTCTTTTGGTTCCATATGAAGTTTAAGGTGGTTTTTTCCAGTTCTGCAAAGAAGGTCATTGGTAGCTTGATGGGGATAGCATTGAATCTGTAAATTACTTTGGGCAGTATGGCCATTTTCACGACATTGATTCTTCCTAACCATGAACATGGAATGTTTCTCCATCTGTTTGTGTCCTCTCTTATTTCGTTGAGCAGTGGCTTGTAGTTCTCCTTGAAGAGGTCCTTTACATTACTTGTTAGTTGTATTCCTAGGTATTTTATTCTCTTTGTGGCAATTGTGAATGGAAGTTTGTTCTTGATTTGGCTCTCTTTAAGTCTGTTACTGGTGTATAGGAATGCATGTGATTTTTGCACATTGATTTTGTATCCTGAGACTTTGCTGAACTTGCTTATCAGTTTCAGGAGGTTTGGGGCTGAGACGATGGGGTCTTGTAGATATACAATCATGTCGTCTGCAAATAGAGACAATTTGACTTCCTCCTTTCCTATTTGAATGCCCTTTATTTCTTTTTCTTGCCTGATTGCTCTGGCTAGAACTTCTAATACTATATTGAATAGCAGTGGTGAGAGCGGGCATCCTTGTCTGGTGCCACATTTCAAGGGGAATGCTTCTAGTTTTTGCCCATTCAGTATGACATTGGCTGTTGGTTTGTCATAAATAGCTTTTATTATTTTGAGATACGTTCCATTGATACCTAGCTTATTGAGTGTTTTTAGCATAAAGGGCTGTTGAATTTTGTCAAAGGCCTTATCTGCATCAATGGAGATAATAATTTGGTTTTTGTCTTTGGTTCTGTTTATGTGGTGAATTACGTTTATAGACTTGCGTATGTTGAACCAGCCTTGCATCCCCGGGATGAAGCCTACTTGATCATGGTGGATAAGCTTTTTCATGTGCTGTTGCAATCGGCTTGTCAGTATTTTATTGAAGATTTTTGCATCTATGTTCATCATGGATATTGGCCTGTAGTTTTCTTTTCTTGTTGAGTCTCTGCCAGGTTTTGGAATCAGGATAATGTTGGTGTCGTAAAATGATTTGGGAAGAATTCCCTCTTTTTGTATTGTTTGGAATAGTTTCAGAGACGTCACCAGTTTCTAATCCATTATATGTTTGGGCTTCTTCTCCCCAGTCCCTGGCTTTTTGTGTTCTGCCCCAAATGTCAGCATAGTGGCATCTGACAGGCCTTCTTCCAGAACAAACGCAGAGGTGAACATTCCAGAAGGCATTCAGAAATCCTGCTCCCAGCAGGAAGAAAACAAACCGACTCTCGGAGCCAGCAGAAATAGACTTCTTATGAGCCAAGGGGCCTACTTCCTGAACTACCGGCTGAAGACATACAGTAAGTTCTATAGGTTGACCACCATGAAATTGATGAATAATGTCCTGTCTTGTTTTGAGAAACTAACCTCTTTCTTCATCAAAATTAATTTCATCCTTCCCATACTTGTAGAAAATAGAAATGGTTATTTTAACATTTTGTTAAAGATGGAAGACAGAGGCAAAAGTATCTAGCAACTTTTCCATGTCTTTAGTAATGTGGGTGTGGGACTGGGGTTACAATCCCTGCTATTGATTTTTGACACAGGCACAGAACCACCTGTTTTTCTCACCAAAAGGCTAAATCATGTTTACAGGAATCCTCTCTGTACCGTATAAGATCCCACAGACAAGTAGCATCTAGTCTGTTGGTCGAAATGTCTGAGGCTACTGAACTTCCATTTGGTTCCGGTTTCTGCTGAGGCCCAGTAGGCAAAGCAGTGTTCTGCAGACACTGGCGGAAACACAGTGATAGCACACAGTACCTCCTGTGAGGATCTCAAGGAGGACCCTGCTCCTAATAGAACCTGTGGTATCTGTAAATGGCACCATCAAGAGCAAGGAGTACCCTGCTACTGGTGCCTCAGCTCCCCCTTTAGCTGGGATCCCTGGTGGGCACCAAAGCCCCTGGCTAATCTTTGTATTTATAGTAAAGGCAGGGTTTCACCATGTTGCACAGGCTGGTCTTGAACTCTTGAGGTCAAGTGATCTGCCCTTCTGGGCCTCCTAAAATGCTGGAATTCCAGGCATGAGACACCAGGCTGGCTCCACAGATTCTTTTTTCAGTAAAGGTTGTTAGAATTCATCCCTTGGTCCAGTCTCCTATGTAAATTCTCTAACCATTCATTGACCATGATATATGATGAGATAAATTGGTATTGCAGCAATTGTTCTGGTAAGTAGTTAGTGCAATTTTTGAAGATTTTTGGGAAAAAGTTTTAATTATTTGCCCTGACTTAGGTCAGAGGATATGTGATGAAGATCTACCAGATGACGGAGATTTTGTCCCATGGATCTGAAAAGTAGGCTCATCTACTTCTGAGGCAACTTAATCTAGGGCCTGTTAGAACACTCCCATTAGAATATCACATTCTTACACTGAGAATATTTTACGTCCTTGTGCTATGACTGCATACTGATTTGGTCTTGTGTGAAGTATGATTTGCTTAATGTGACCTGCTCTTCTGAATTTGTTTACAGAAGATCGAAAAGATCACAATGAAGAACAGAAATGCAGAGACAGCAAAAATAAACTTCTTATGAGTGAAGTGGCCTACTACCGGGGCTGCCGGCTGAAGACGGAAGGTAAGTTCTGTAGGTTCACTGTCATGAAAGTGCTGAACAATGTCCTGTCTTGTCTATGAGAAATGATACACTCTTTTCTTCAAAGTTAATTTCATCCTTCCCATACTTCTAGGAAAATAACAGTGGGTATTTTAACATTTAGTTAAAGATGGAAGACAGAGGCCAAAGTATTTAGCAACTTTTCCACGTCTACAGTAAGGCGGGTGTGGGACTAGAGTTAATATCCCAGCTATTGATTCCTGACACAGGCACAGAACCACCTGTTCTTCTCAGCAAGAGGCTAAATCATGTTTACAGGAATCCTCTCTGTACCATATAAGATCCTGAAGAACTCATAAACAAGATAATGATAGGAGGGTTTATGTCCTGGCTTCAACGTGACTGAGTAGCTAAGACAAGTTGACTTTAAAGAGATCAGGAGTGGAGATGAGAAGAGTAAAAGCAGGGAAACGACATCTTCAAATCAATAGGCAAGGCTGTCAGTGACATCCCTCAGTCCCGATTAAACCAATTTGATGTCACCAGTTTCTAATCCATCGTGTGTTTGGGTTTCTTCTCTCCAGTCCCTGGCTTTCTGTGTTCTACCCCAAACATCAGCAAGGTGGCATCTTACAGGACTCTTTCCAGAAAAAACACAGAGTTGAACGTTCCAGAAGGCATTGAGAAATCCTGCTCCGAACAGGAAAATAACAAACCGAATATTGCAGTCAGTAAAAATAGACTTCTTATGAGTCCAGTGGACTACTCCCTGAACTATCGGCTGAAGACATACAGTAAGTCCTATAGGTTGACCACCATGAAAGTGATGAATGATGTCCTGTCTTGTCTTGAGAAACTAACTGCTCTCTTCATCAAAATTAATTTCATCCTTCCCATACTTGTAGAAAATAGCAGTGGGTATTTTAACATTTAGTTAAAATGGAAGACAGATGCCAAAATATTTAGCAACATTTCCACATCTGCAGTAAGGTGGGTGTGGGGCTGGGATTGCAATCCCAGCTGTTGATTCCTGACCCAGGCACAGAACCACCTGTTTTTGTCAGCAAGAGGCTGAATCCATGTTTACAGGAACCCTCTCTGTACCATATAAGATCCTATAGACAAGCAGCATCTAGTCTGCTGGTCTAAAGGTCTGAGGCTACTGGACTTCCATGCAGTTCTGGTTTCTGCTAAAGACCCAGTAGGCAAAGCTGTGTTCTGGGGACCCTGGGGGAAACACAGTGATAGCAGACATTACCCGCTTTGAGGAGCTTAAAGGGGACCCTGCTGCTAATGGAACCTGTGGTATCTGTAAGTGGCACCATCAAGAGCTGGGAGTACTCTGGTACTGGTGCCTCAGCCTGCCAATTAGCTGGGATCCCCGGTGGGCACCACCACACCTGGCTAATTTTTGTACTTTATGTAAAGGCAAGGTTTCACCATGTTGTCCAGGCTGGTCTTGAACTCCTGAGGTCAGGTGATCTGTATGCCTGGGCCTCCTAAGTTGCTTGGATTCCAGGTGTGAGCCACCATGCTGGCTCCACAGATTCGTTTTAAAGTAAAGGTTGTTAGAATGCATCCATCCGTGCAGTCTCCTTATAAATTTCTCTAAACATTCATTGACCATGATATATGATGAGATAATTAGTATTGCAGCAACCCTTCTGGAAAGTAGTTAGGGCAATTTTCGAAGATTTTGGGGGAAAAAGTTTTAATTGTTTGCACTGACTTAGATCACAGGACAGATGATTAATATCTACAAGATGAGAGAGATTTTGTCCCATGGGTCTGAAAAGCAGCCTCATCTACTTATGACGTGACTTAATCTAGGGCCCGATAGAACATTCCAGTCAGAATATCACATTATTACACTGAGAATATTTTATGTCCTTGTGCTATGACTGGACACTGATTTGGTCTGTGTGAAGTGTGACTTGCTCAATGTGACCTGCTCCTCTGAATTTATTTACAGAAGATAGAAAAGATCATGAAGAAGAACAGAAATACAGAGGCAGGAAAAATAAACTTCTTATGAGTCAAGCAGCTTACTACCCAGGCTGCCGGCTGAAGACAGAAGGTAAGTTCTATAGATTCTCCATTACGAAAGTGCTGAACAATATTCTGTCTTTTCTGTGAAACTGAACACTCTCTCCATCAGAATTTATTAAATTTTTCCCATACTTCTAGGTAAATATAAATGGCTACCTTAACATTTTGTTAAAAATGGATGAGAGAGGTCACAGTAGGTAGCACCTTTTCCACGTCTGCAGTAAGGCAGGTGTAGGACTAAGGGTACAGTCTCAGCTGTTCATTTCTGACACAGGTGCACAACCATGTGTGTTTCTCAGCAAGAGGCTGTTGATTTCTGACACAGGCACAGAAGCACCTGTGTTTCTCAGCAAGAAGCTAAATCATGTTTACAGGAATCCTCTCTGTACCATCTAACATCCTACAGACAAGTAGCATCTAGTCTGTTGGTCTAAATGTCTGAGGCTACTGAACTTCCATTCGGTTCCGATTTCTGCTGAGGCCCAGTAGGCAAAGCAGCGTTCTGGGGACACTGGGGTAAATGTAGTGATGGCACACAGTACCCACTGTGAGGAGCTTGAAGGGGACCCTACTCCTAATAGAACCTGTGGTATTGGTAAGTGACACCATCAAGAGCACGGAGTACCATTGTATTGGTGACTCAGCCTCCCAGTTAGCTGGGATCCCTGATGGATACCACCACACTTGGCTAGTTTTTGTAATTTTGGTAGAGGCGGGGTTTCACCGTGTTGGCCAGGCTGGTCTTCAACTCCTGAGGTCAAGTGATCTCCCTTCCTGGGCCTCCAAAGTTGCTCCGATTCTAGGTGTCAGTCACTCTGCTGACTCCACAGATTCTTTTTTATGTAAAGGTTGTTAGAATTCATCTGTCGGTCCAGTCTCCTACGTAAATTTCTCTAACTATTCGTTCACCATCATATATGATAAGTTAAATCAGTATAGCTGCAATGCTTCTGGAAAGTAGTTAGGGCAATGTGTGAAGATTTTTGGGAAGAGGTTTTAATTGCGTGTGCTGACTTGGGTCAGAGAATACATGATTAAGATCTAGCAGATGAGGGAGATTTTGTCCCATGGATCTGAAAAGCAGGCTCATCTACTTCTAGCGTGACTTAATCTAGGTACCAGTAGAACATTCCTATCAGAATATCGCATTCTTAAACTGAGAATATTTTTCATTTTTGTGATATGACTAGACACTGATTTGGTCTTGTGTGAAGTGTGATTTGCTTAATGTGACCTTTTCTTCTGAATTTGTTTACAGAAGATCGGAAACGTCACAAGGAGGAACAGAAACACAAAGTCAGCAAAAATAAACTTCTTACGAGTCAAGTGTCCCGCTACCCGGGCTGCAGGCTGAAGACAGAAAGTAAGTTCCATAGGTTCACCTTCACGAAAGTCCTGAAGGAAGTTCTGTGTTTTCTCTGAGAAACTAAAGGCTCTCTTCATCAGAATTAATTTCACTTTTGCCATACGTCTAAGAAAATATAAATGAGTATTTTAATATTTTGTTAAAAATGGACAATAGAGGCCAAAGTATGTAGCAACTTTTCTACATCTGTCGTAAGGCGGGTGTGGGACTGAGGGTAAAGTCTCAGGTGTTGATTTCTGACATAGGCGCAGAAGCAACTGTGTTTCTCAGCAAGAGGCTAAATCATGTTTACAGGAATCCTCTCTATACCACCTAAGTCCTGCAGACAAGCAGCATCTAGTCAGTTGGTCTAAATGTCTGAGGCTACTGAACTTCCATTGGGTTCCCGTTTCTGCTGTGGCCCAGTAGGCAAAGCAGTGTTCTGGGGACACTGGGGTAAATGCAGTGATTGCACACAGTACCCACTGTGAGGAGCTTGAAGGGGACCCTGCTCCTAATAGAAACTGTGGTATCGGTAAGTGACACCATCAAGAGCAGGGAGTACCATTGTATTGGTGGCCCAGCCTCCCAGTTAACTGAGATCCCTGATGGATACCACCACACTTGGCTAGTTTTTGTATTTTTAGTAGAGGCGGAGTTTCACCATGTTGGCCAGGCTGGTCTTGAACTCCTGAGGTCAAGTGATCTCCCTTCCTGGGCCTCCTAAATTGCTCCGGTTCCACACGTTAGTCACTGCTGACTGCACAGATTCTTTTTTATGTAAAGGTTGTTAGAATTCATCTGTCAGTCCAGTCTCCTATGTAAATTTCTCTAACCATTTGTTCACCATCATATTTGATAAGATAAATCAGTATAGCTGCAATGCTTCTGGAAAGTAGTTAGGGCAATTTTTGAAGATTTTGGGGAAAAAGTTTTAATTGCTTGTGCTGACTTAGGTCAGAGGATACATGATTAAGATCTAGCAGATGAGGGAGATTTTCTTTCATGGATTTGAAAAGTAGGCTCATCTACTTCGAGGGCGACTTAATCTAGGGACCAGTAGAACACTCCCGTCAGAATATCACATTCTATTTTTAATTTTTGTGATATGACTAGATACTGATTTGGTCTTGTGTGAAGTGCGATTTGCTTAATCTGACCTGCTCTTCTGAATTTGCTTACAGAAGATCGGAAACGTCATGGGGAGGAACAGAAATACAAAGAGAGCAAAAATAAACTTATGAATCAAGTGGCCCACTGCCTGGTCTGCAGGCTGAAGACAGAAAGTAAGTTCCATAGGTTCACCGTCACCAGAGTGCTGAACAATGTTCTGTGTTTCCTCTGATAAACTAAAGACTCTCTTCATCAGAATTAATTTCATTTTTGCCATACGTCTAGGAAAATATAAATGGGTATTTTAACATGTTGTTAAAGGTGGATGAGAGAGGTCAAAGTATGTAGCAACTTTTCCACATCTGCATTAAGGCAGGTGTGGGACTGAGGGTAAAGTCTCAGGTGTTTCTGCAGAAGCACCTGTGTTTCTCAGCAAGAAGCTAAATCATGTTTACAGGAATCCCCTCTGTACCACCTAAGATCCTGCAGACAAGTAGCATCTAGTCTGTTCTAAATGTCTGAGGCTGCTGAACTTCCATTCAGTTCCGGTTTCTGCTGAGGCTCAGTAGGAAAAGCTCTGTTCTGGGGGAAATACGATGGTAGCACACTATACCCGCTATCGGGAGCTTAGAGAAGACTCTGCTCCTTACATAACCTGTGGTATCTGTAAGTGGCCTCATCAAGAGCAGTGATTACTCTGGCCAGAGGGACATCCTGCTTTCTGTGCAGAGGCTCTTGTTGGTTAAAAGGAAGAACGACAGCACCCACGACTTTGTGGAGGCAGCAGTGCATAGAGGAGGGGCCCTGGGCCAGTCTCCTGAGCTCCATCCAAGTTGCTTCTTTTGTTTCTTACTCAGTTGTGTCATCTGTTCATAGGATACTGTAATAATGCCTACCTCTGTCAATTGCTGCACTGAATTAGATGGCCTGTTGATTGTAACCCTCCCGGGACAGTTGTTGGCACAGAGTAAACACTGTCTATTAGTTCTTCATTCTACTGTGTCTAGCATAAGAGAAACTTTATTAGTCTGTGCATATTTCCTTTATGGCCTTATGAGAGACTCCAGACGTCCATACTTCCGCAATGACAATTTTATCAGTGGTGTTTTCTTACACTAAACATATGTGGCCATGAAGTGACTAGGACTTTCTGAATGAGAACACAGATGGGAAACCCATGGGGTTGGAGGTCACAGTATTGTAAATGTCCCTCCTTCTGTGATGGATGGTGGTCTTTGGAGCAAGAGGCAGCATCTCTCCAGTTGCAAAGGACATGAAGGAAGCCGTGACAGAAGGGCGGTTGTTGGAGTGGAAAGAGCTCTGGAGTAAGAATGAAGGTTCCCAGGCTGTATCTTCAGCAGTGTTCCTAGGAACTGTCAGTGAGCAATTGATTTCTCCTTCCTGAATTTCTCTGTCTTCATCTGCAAAGGCAGGTAAATTTCTCTCTCTCCATCTGCAAAGGCAGACATCTTGCAGTGTCTGAAGCATTCAAATGTGCAAACACTTATGCCCGCTTATTACAACGAGATAAAGCCCCTCGCTGTGTGGTGTTGGAGAAAGCACTTGATGTGTGGGCATTTGGTGGTAGGAAGTGGTTCAGACTGGAGCACTCCCCTTGGAGAGAATGTCCCTGAATAACATAGCAGAAGCCACTTGGAGGGCCTGTGAAGTCACCTGATGTGCAGAGGATTGTGGGACAAGTTTGTTTATCCTCTCCTAAGAGAAAGAAATAGGTTGTAAATGTGAACTGTGACAGGATCCCAAGCCTGTCCCTGGGAATCAGATCTGTGTCAGGATGGCGGAGACAGCTGCCAAAGTCCAGAGAGAGGCTGCAAAAGCCTCCAGTGATGTGGAGAGCAGAAGTGTTTTCAACATTTGGCTTCATCTTCATGATGAGCCTCCTGATCAGAAATGCACTGCCTGGTGGATCAGGAAACCATGCCAGGGCATTTTGTTAAAGAGAAAACATGAGAGCTTTCAGTAGAATGGGGACCCATACACAGATGTTCACATCCCTGCGCACATTGGGCTGACTGTCCTTGCAGAGTGAAATGGGAAATATCTGAACGAACACACCTGTACTTGCAGAAAATGACAAAGATGAGGATGAAGATGTTCATGTTGTGGAGGCTGAGAAAATACAGGAATCACGTGCCCCCAGGTACCACTGAATAATCAGGAGTAAGTAATGAGTGGTAAAGTATGGAAAAGGTCTAGAAGCACACCCATGGGGTCTCCCATGGGCCAAAAGCCTGCATTCCCTTGGCCACAATATGTTCAGTTCAACCCAACTTAGACACAGGTGTGGCAGCTGTTGTGGTTCTTTGTATGTGCTGTGTGCCGTGTCTGAATTTTACAGGGATAACTGAGTCTCTTTTCTTCTTGGCTCCTTTCTGCCCAGTGTAATGAATACCAGCTGCTCTCTTTCTCTCTGGTTCCCATGGCAGCCATGCTCTGTTGCAGAGAGGAGAATTGCCTGTTTCCTCTCAAAGGGAACCTCCCATTTGCCTTCTGGGACCACTCTCTCATTCCTCCTGTGAAAACTAGCTAGGACTCCCTGGGGTCCAATCTCTCTTTGTTTAATCTTCTGTCATCTCTATCCCATCTGGCTCATCAGGGAGGTCCAGAAGATTGAAGTCAAGAAAGTCCCTGAGGACTCACTGGAGAAATGTGTCATCACTCATTCAAATAGCTGTGGCCCTACTGACTCCAGCCAGCCTCACAGAGACTCCAATGAAATCACATTTGAGGAAGACAATGTTGATTCTGCACTGGTTGTAGAGAGTGAATCATCTCATGATGTGGTGGAGGATGCTCTAATCATTCTTTCAGGTGACCACTATGTTCCTTGTTTTTGGTACCTCTGTCTAGGCTGAGGAAGATCAATTCTGAAGACAGGCTGTATACACACAAATTGGTTTGAATCAAAACCTATCATGGGATACTAAACACAGATACCAGGGAATTTTTATCTCATCCTCAGCTCATGCCATGCGTTTGCCGCCGAGGTCCAAGTATCAAGTTACCAGACCCCAGGCCAGTGTGACAAGCTCATGGTCACCTGTGTGCAGGAGGTGTCTGTCAGGTCTCCTAGCTTTGATTCAGTATCTCTCATGTCATTATGTCATCTGTCCCTGAACAATGTCCATGGAGTTTCTATTTATTTTTAAGGAAACTGAGAGCCTTGCCTGTTTACTTGGAGAGATTGTTCCCCAGGTTTCACTGCTCTGAGCTTCAGTCTTGATCTCTTTTAAGCCAGCTTGCTTAGTGGCATAGTCACCTTGAGACCAGGATGAAAACATTTCCTCTTTACCTTGCTGATATGTTTCCATAAAGCAAGGCTCAGCCCTGGCTCTCTACCCCATCCATGCAATGGCTGATCTGATGTTTCTTCGTAGCATCATGTATTGTTTCTTGTTGTTGTTGACATGGAGTCTCCTTTTGTCACCCAGGCTGGAGGGCAGTGGCACCATCTTGGCTTACTGCAGCCTCCACTTCCCAGAGTCCAGTGATTTTCCTGCCTCTGCCTCCTGAGTAGCTGGGACCATAGGTGCCCCCCACCACACCTAGCTAATTTTTGTATTTTTAGTAGAGACGAGGTTTCACCATATTGGCCAGGCTGGTCCTGAACTCCTAACTTTAAGTGGTTCACCCACATTGTCCTCTGAAGTCACAGATTTTTTTTTTTTTTTTTTTTTTGGGAGATGGAGTCTCCCTCTGTTATTCAGGCTGGAGTTTAGTTTCACGCTCTCAGCTCACTGCAACCTCTGCCTCCTGGGTTCAGATGATTCTGCTGCCTCAGCCTCCCGAGTAGCTGAGACTGCAGGCATGTGCCACCATGCCCAGCTAATTTCTTTGTATTTTTAGTAGAGACAGGCTTTCACCATGTTAGCCAGGATGGTCCCAATCTCCTGACCTCGTGAAGTGTTCACTTCGGCCTTTGAAAGTGCTGAGATGACAGGCGTGAGCCGCCATGCCCGGCCCACAGATTCTTTTTTGTTTTGTCTTTTTTTATTCAGTCTCCCTAGAGACTGTCAAAAATTGTCAATGCCAACTCTATTGCATGTTATCAAGGTGGGGTATTGGGAAAAGTTTTCAATTAGCAATACTCTCATCTCAGGTAAAACTCATCGGCTCTGATACTGGCACTGAGCAAAGCTCGCAGATTCTTTTTAAAGCAAGTGTTGTTAGAATTTATATATCTGTCCAGTTTTGTGTATAGATGCCTCTAACCATTCAATGACCTTGGTACCTGGTGAGATAAGTCAGTATTGCAAAAACACTCCCAGAAAATAGTTTGACTCATTTTTGGAGATTTTCTGGGAAAAATTTGGTTTAACTTTGCATGGACTCAGGCAGAGAATATGGCATGATGGTCTACCCGTAGAGGGAGATTTAGGCCTGTGTGTCTGGAAAGCAGGCTCACCTACTCACCAGGCTTCATCTAGGGCACCCTGGAATAGTCCTGTCAGAATTTGTATTCTTGCCCTGAGAATATTTCTGTGCTTGTGCTATGACTAAACACTGATTTGGTCATATGTGAAGTGTGATTTGCTTAATGTGACCTGTGTCTCTGAATTTATTTACAGACAGACAAAGTGATGATGAGGAAGAGGAAGAAAGAGGGCCAGTGCCCCCCAGGTAATGCTGTGGAGTTGTGGGCTGTTAGTTCAGTAGTGACACCTGGAGACTGTAGATCCTGGGAAAACGAGGAAGTGATGACTAGAACTCTTTCTTCCATTCACCAGCTACAAATTGTCCTTATTGACAATGTTGTGGGTGATTTGTGGCACTTGTATAGGTTTTAATTTCTCACTCCTCCCAAGATGGGAACCTGCAATCAGATGAGCCAGGTGAACTCAGCAAACAGGGATTTCCTGGTTTCGCCTGTTCTCCCCACTGTGTTTAAACCCAGGGAGAGACGCATATATGCTTTCTGCCCATTTGTTGTGAGCATGTTTGCTAGGATTTGTGAAGAGAAGGAATTCAAAACATAGACATATGATATCAAAATACTGGAAAAGGGAGGCCCTTAATACACAAGATCTGTGTGTCTGAAATGCCTCAGGAGCTCTGTTCACTTGAATGCTGCATGTAAAATTTCAACACAACTTACGCGAGGCAGTTGAAGCCCTGTGTTGGTTCTCGTGCTGCAAGTCATGATGATAGTTTACTGGGAGAGTCGGTGGCCTGCAGTGGCTCATCTGTGGCAAATGCACTGAGCACATGCTGCTCATTTGTTCTCTGTCCCCATGGTAGTCACCCTCCACCCTGCATTTAGAAAGGATAGTTTTCTTTTTTCTCTTGAAGGAAAAATGCCTTTGCTTTCTCTGACCATTCCATTCTGACTTCCATCAGATCAGCTGGGAGACTTTGTTGTCCAATCTCTGTTGGTTTCATCTTCTGTCATCCCTGTCCTGCCTGGCTCATCAGGAATCTGCAGGAGTCTGTGGAGGAGGAGGCCCCCCAGGAGTCCTGGGATGAAGGTAATTCGACTCTCTCAATTCCTCCTGGCACATCTGCCTTCAATGAGTCTTACAGGAGCAACTTGCACTCATTAGAGGAGCAGGAGGTCAACTTGGCTGTCGACATAGGCAGTGAGTATTCCATTGTGAAGTTGATAAAGCTCCAATTTGTGTCCCAGATAGACCCCGTAGTCTTTGGGCCTTGCCTCGCTGGCCGGGCTGAGAGTTGTCATCACTGTGGGCTGAACCTGTCCATCAATGTAGATTTCAATCACTCTGGATTCCAGTCTGAAGCATGGGCATGCGGTGGGTCAGTGAGCTTTGCTCTCTCTCTAGTCTCAGTCCATGCCCGTCATACCCTGGACTGACTGTCAGGACATTGAAACCCAAGGCAGGTGTTGCCAACTCACACCAAGCTATGCAGCGCATGTCCAAGAGTTGTCTGTCAATCTTAATTAAATGTCTCTTGCCAGCTACCACGTTCCTCAGGAGTTTTGTTCCCATGCATGTCTGTGAGGTTCTTTCCTGTTTGTACAACCTTGGGATAAAGGGATAATGGTCTGCCAGAATAGGGACGTTTCACCATTGGTTCTGAGACACAAACCAAGGAATCTCTATCATGATTGGCTTTGGGACCTCCTGAAGTCTATCTCTCACATTATCCTGTTCTCATGCTGAGGAGCCTGAGGTCCCTGTGCAGGGATTAGACAGTGGACTGTTACGGGTGTAGGGTAATGGCTTATTTTGTCTGTCCCTATCTGAATTTATTGCAGAGATTAAAAAGGACCAAGAAGAGGAAGAAGACCGAGGTCCACTGTGCCCCAGGTAACTCTGAGCAATTGTGAACAGCTAATGTTGTGTTGACACCTGGAGACGCCAGGTCCAGGGAAAACAGAGTGGGCTGATCATATCAATACCATCTTTTCAACGAAGCCTGAATTATTCCTACTAACATTGCTGTTGGATTTCATTGCAGTAGATATTTAGGTTTCCATTTCTTCCTCCCCTTACCATTTACTAACTACTGTAGGTTGACCATACTTGTTTTTATGATCAGTGTACACTGTGTGTCCTGAGGGCAGTAACTCAGAGTGTCCTTCTACTCCCTCGTCAGTGTGTCACCTGGATGCTTCACTGAGCTTACTTTCTCTCTCTTTCTCTCTCTTTCTCTTTCATTCTTTTTACCCTACTCTTGTCCATCCCAGCATAAAGCAATAATTTGTTACGTTATTAATGGATCTTTGTTTTTTCTTTGTTAACCACTTTCTTGTGCTACCCATGAAATCTAGTTGGGGCTCTGGGTTGTCTTATTTTCCATGACTTATTCTTTGGTTTTTCCTCCTTTTTTAGGCTCAGCATGGAGCTAGTGGAAGCAGAAGAGCCTGAAGTCTTCTGGTACTCACAGAATATATTATGTTCAACATATACAGCGTATCTTGAGTTTTATTACACATGCCAGGCTTACACATATGCCATTTTTTTATTTGTAGAAGAGCATGTTCGCTTGACTTTGGACATGGACAATAGGTTTCTTACTATGATGGTGATAAGACTCCACCTCGTCTCCTGGATAGGGGTCATATTCCCACACTAAGGCAACATTTCACATGGGACGCTGCCAGTGCAGAGTATGAACAACGCCATGTTCTTGCTGAAAACGCTTAGCCTGAGTTTCATAGCCTGAGGTAATCTCCAGACAACTTCAGAATGTAGAACAGTGAGCAGCACTACTGACCTGTCTCCTTCAGACAGCCCATGTCACCACAAATCACACAACTAAAAGGAGAAGAGACATTTTGGATTGAAAAAGAGTAAAAGATAATGTAGCCACATTTCTTTAGTTCTTTTGAACCCAAAGTGTCTCCTCATCTTTTTGTTGTTGTCGTTGATGGTGGTTACATGGGCTTGTTTGTAGAGGACAGATCAGCTGTCTGGCTCAATGGTCTGTACTCTGAAGTTGTCTGAAAATGTCCTCATGATTAAATTCAGCTTAAATGTTTTTCCGGGAACACTGCAACGTCAATGCTACCTCACCCATCTGCAGGTAGAGACGGTCCCATGTGTCTACCATCATGATCGTGATACCAGGACTGTTCCACCATCTGTCTGTCACCATGATCGTGATACCAGGACTATTCCACCATTTGTCTATCACCATGATCGTGATACCAGGACTGTTCCACCATTTGTCTATCACCATGATTGTGATGCCGGATCTGTACCTTTCAGAGACACCTTATTTATACTGAAATAATTGGGAAAATGGTTTTTAAAAGTATTAATATCTGTATTCAAATGATCATCCCTCGACATTTTATTATCCATTAATCAGCCCTGGCTGTGTCAATTATTATATTCACATCTGTACAGTGGAAATTTTCTATTTTACTGTATCTTTGCTTTTTCTAGTTTCTGTTGTTGAACAAAAAAAATTCTCTGCCTGAATTTCAATTTTTGTCAACATTAATTTTAATCCATACAATGAAAATTTTTTGTCTTTTAGTTAAGACTGTCAGCATAAGACCACAGCAAAACAGAGATTTTGCTAATTGCTAAACCTTTGTTAATTACTGGCTGATGAGAGAGGTAGTTTATTTAATTAGCTGCTAATATCTATTAAAGTGAGCAGCCAGAGAAATGTCTATCAGACTAAGTATGTGCAAAACCCAGGCCATTCTCTTTGAGTCTTTTAAACTATTTCAGAAGAGAAGAGAATAGGCAGATTCCACATATGTGGACAGGAAGGAGAATCCACTAAAAGACACAAACAACCATTTCCCAAAACAGAATAGAAAATCTATTAAAATTCATATTTTCTCATGAAATGTAATCTCTCTAAACTTAGCCATTATATGAAAGTCAATTCTTAATATACCACATTACATTGACTGTTGACATTCATAAGATTTCATTTCCATGTTTGTTATTTGAAAAAGCAAAAGGACTATAATCCTTTTTTCTCTTTGCCATGATCTTTTTAAGATTGAGGATCGTTTTTCAAAATAAAACCAAAGATTTTAAAGATTGAAAATTCACATTAAAATTTATCTTTTCAAAGTAATGATGTTTAACTCAGGCTGTCTTATTCCTGTTTGTAGCATAACTATCAAGTGATCATTTAACCATTCTTTAAATGTTTCAAGTTACTGGAAAGAAACCACGATACAGGATGTACCTTCTTTTGTTTCTTTATTTTGCTTTAAGTTCTGGGGTACATGTACAGATCTTGCAGGATTGTTACCCATGTATACACATGCCATTTTGGTTTGCTGCCTCCACCCCCCACCGTCACCTACATTAGGCATTTCTCCTAATGCTACCCCTCCCCAATCTCCTCACCCCCTGCTATCCCTCCTGTAGCTCTCCCACCCCCTCACAGGCCCCAGTGTGCGATGTTCCCCTCCCTGTGTCCATGTGTTCTCATTTTTCAACACCGACTTATGAGTGAGAACATGTGGTGTTTGCTTTTCTGTTCCTGTCAGTCTGCTGAGAATGATGGTTTCCAGTTTCATCAATGTCCCTGTAAAGGACATGAACTCATCATTTTTTAATGGCTGCCTAGTTTTCCATGGTGTATATGTGCCACATTTTCTTTAACCAGTCTATCTTTGATGGGTATTTGGTTTGGTTCCAGGTCTTTGCTATTGTAAGCAGTGTTGCAGCAAACATATGTGTGCATGTGTCTTTATAATAGAATGTTTTATAATCCTTTGGTTAGGTACCCAGTCATGGGATTGCTGGGTCAAATGGTATTTCTGTTTCTAGATCCTTGAGGCATCACCACACTGTCTTCCACAATGTGCCTGAATATTATATCTTTCTCTAGGTTTAGAACGTTTTCTGCTATTAATATTATTTCTTTGAAGAAGTTTTCTACTCTTTGCTCCTTCTCAACCACCTATTTAAGGCCAATCTTTGATTTTCTCTTTTGAAGCCCTTTTCTAGATCTCTTAAGTATTCTGTGTTCCTTCTCATTATTCTTTTCTTTTTTCTCCTCTGACTGTATTTTGAAATAGCTTGTTTTAATGCTCACTAATTATTCTGCTTAATCAATTCTACTGACACTCACTCAGGCATTTTCCAGCTCCAGGAATTTTTTGCTGTTTTCTATTACGTCAGTATCCTTGTTAAATTTTTCTGATATACAGAAAACAAGCTCTGTTTTACAAGAGCTTCTGAAAGAACCACTACAAATAGAAAGGAACAACCAGTATCAGCCTTTCTAAAAAATACCAAAAAATAAAGAACATCAACATAATTAGGAACTTGCATCAACTAATGGGCAAAACAGCCAGCTAACATTAAATGGCAATATCAAACTCACATATATTATTATTAATTCTAAATTTAAATCGACTAAATCCCCCAATCCAAAGACACAGACAGGCAAAAAAAGCCAAGACCCATTGGTATGCTACATGCAGACCCATCTCACATGCAAGGATACACAAAGACTCAAAGGGATGGAGAAAAATTTACCAACCAAATGGAGAGCGAAAATAAATAGAAAGCAGGAGTTGCAATTTTTGCTGATAAAATAGACTTTAAAGCAACAAAGATCAAAAGAAGCAAAGAAGGATATTACATAATGATAAAAGGATCAATGTAACAAGAAGAGCTGAAGATCCTAAATATATACGCACTCAATACAGGAATACCCAGATATATAAGACTTATAAAGAGACTTAGACTCCCACACAATAATAGTGGGAGACTTCAACATCAATATTAGAAAGATCAATGAGACAAAGTTAACATCGATATCCAGGACTTGAACTCAGATCCGGAACAAGTAAACTTAACATTTATAGAACTCTCCACTTTAAATACACAAAATATACACTCTTATTAGTACCACATCACACCTGTTTACAGGTTTAAATGAAATATTCGTTGGCTGCTTATTATTTTCTTCCCTCATTTTTTTTCATGCCTCTATTATTAAACACAATTATAGGCATACCCATTTTTAGACTGCATTCTAGCCTGGGCAATAAAGCAACACCCCTGTTCTCTCTCCCTCTTCCTCTTCCTCTTTCTTCCTCTCCTTCATTCTTTTTTTTTTCTTTTTTTTTTTTAATTCTTTCTTTTCTTTCTTCAATACATAAATAAATAAATTTATTTTTCTGATATAATTTTGAATTGTTTCTGTTTTCTTGAAGTTCATTGAGCTTTCTCAAAATACTTATTCTAAATTTCCTGAGAAGTTACATATCTCCATCGCTCCAGGGTTGGTCACTGGTGGCTTATCTGGTCTATTTGGTGAGGTCATATTGACTTAAATGTTTTTGATACTGTTGATATTTGTTGATATCTGGGCATTGAAGGATAAGGTATTTGTTCCAGCCTTTGCAGTCAGGTCTTGTTTGTACCTGTCCTTCAGAGGGCCTTCCAGGAATTCAAAGTGGGCTGATGAGTTTCCCAAGCCAGTGGTCACGGCAGCCATTTTTGTACTACAGGGTACCCTAGGCCCAGGTACATTGCAATCCTTACAGATTCCCAGGTCCCCAGCCCTCTTGGACTTGGGGAAGATCAGGAATTGTTCTCTGGGTTCCCAGGTAAAACCTCTAGCTTACTTTCCTCTATTTACCCCAAGCAAAAGGAATCTCTCTGTAGGCTACACTGCCTGGAGTATGGGGAGGGGTGATGCAAGCATTCCCATAGCTACTGCAGCTGCTGCTGTCATACTGGCTGTGACCTCAAGTCTGGCGTCTTCCAGACCTATGCAACATCAGGGTTTGCCCAAGGAGTGTTGTGGTCACTGCAGCCTGCCTGCCCCTGACATTTATTTGAAGCCCAGTTAATTTCCAGTGATAAAGCCGACCAGAACTTTAGTGGGTTCTTCCTCCTGGGGCAGCTGATTCCCTTGTGGCCCAGGGTGAGTCTAAATGCTGCTTCTGTGGACATCAGCCTGGAATCAAGCACTGTTGGGTTCTGTTCAGGGCTGTGTTTCTCTATGGCAAGACTGGTACTGAGTTTCCTCCTTGTCTTCAAGCCATTAGATTCTCTCTCAAAGATGCATTTCCTGTGGTTGGGCGGAGAGGTGTCAGAAGCAATGCAAGACCATCTTCCCTGCCTTCTTCAATGCACCTTGTTATTATGCTAAAACCAGGTGCTCTGATCTCTCACCTGATTACTTAGCTCTTGTGAAAGTGTTTTCGTGCATGGATACTTGTTCCATTTGATGTTCTTTCAGGGAGACCATTGCTGGAGAGTTGTATTCTATGATCTTACTGCACCTCCCACCTGTTTTTTTTAAATGTTTCTAGTAAATAATTGTGAAGTGATAGCATTATTTTAATCTTGGGGATCAAAAGCATGTAGCTAAGAACTTTTCCCAAAAAGCATTTTAAAAATTTTATATCAATGTTGACGGAATGATATACTTTTTGACTCAAGGGTCTTAAATGGATTTTTAGTTTTGATTCAATGTGACAGAACACGGCTTTTTTTAAGTGTGATCTGCAGCCCTCATGTACTAAAGTCACCTGTGGTGCTTATATTATAAAAAGGCAGATTCTAGAGCCCACACCACCTAAATCTCCTGGGATTGGAGACCAGTTTGTAGCTCCTATCATCTCCACAGCTGCTTCTAAGGTACACCAAGTTTAAGAACCATTCTTTCATGTTTTCAGACTAGGGATTCTGACAAAATGGCAAAGTAGAAAAACCTTAATCTTTTAAAGTTAACAGTTCAAGCATTAGACTATGTGCTTCTTAAACACAGATTATCTTTCCCATTTTCTCTTTCCAGTTCTTTAAACTGTCAAGGGATTGGTGCAGAAATAGGAAACAAAGCAGTGAAGGAAAAACTTTATTTCTTAGTATACATTTTGCTTTAATAATCACCAAAAAGACTTCCATTTTCTCTCTCTGACCTGTCCATCAGCTATATTGGCCTTCAACAGATGGTGACAGCAACATACATAAATCTATATCATGCATTTATACACACAAACATGTATCAGCACTGTGAAGACAGAGACTGGGCTTTACTATGGCTGGGGGCCTCTCCCATGCCACTTAAAAATGAGCACAGGTTTGCTCTATGCAAGAATTTCAACAGAATTGGCCTGGCCATCAGTCCCCAGTTTCCTCGAGGTAAGATAGGATGACAAAATGGGACAGCGTATTTGAAGTGAGGCCAGTCCAATTTGGGTATCATAGAAGACAAGAAATAGGATGTGCTAGCTGAAGCCTGAGATGGTATCT